ATTGGATTTTGAATTCGCACCGTATATTTTTTTGCCGCTACGACCGCCTAACTTTGACCAACGTTCACTCTCAACTGATTTGTATTTTTGGTTTCAATTCAACTGTAAAGACTTTTTGTGTAAAACCAACAACAACAGCGGCAGCAAAAACACAACTGCGACAACAACATAAGCCAGTCTGTGAACTAAACAACATTGTCCCCAACATACCGCTCCCCCTACCTTCCTCAATACCAGACTTGGATTATAAGCCAGTGGTTAGGTGTGTTGGAGAGAGGGGGAGGGGGCAAACAATTGGCTTTCTTTAGCCGATACTTGTTGCTCTGTGTTGTCCGATTTGTGCATTGTGCGTCCAAAGAAGAGGAATAGCTAAGCTTTGTATTGGACTGGTTGATTGTTTGGTTTTGTTTTCCTGTTTCTCTTGGTGTTGTCATTGTTGTTGTTGCTTTCGTGTGTGTTTGGGTTTGATTTTTCGGTTTGCCATTCCCACTGCATATCACTGAGACCGGCTTTTTGCCATTGTTTTTAAATCGATTTGAGAGCGTATAAATATTTGAAAATTAAGGAGAGAGAGAGTTGTTGGGTTTTTAGCGCGGAATTAATTCTCTTGGGTATTGGCAACACTAAACATTTTTGGGTTTCGAATACACTGAACAAAATTTAAAATATCGAAAAAAATAAAAAAGTGAACAGAGGTCTGTAATATTTTTTTTTTTTTTCTATAGGAAATACATGCTCTGAGGTCTGCATAGAAGTTTTTCTACAGAAAAACTTAGCCCTCAGGGAACTGAGGTCTGCAGAGAAGTTTTCCTATAGAAAAATTTGTCTTTCAGTGGACTGAGGTCTGCGGAAAGTTATTTTGTAGAAAAACTTGGGCCTAAGTGGACGGAGGTCTGAAGAGAAGTGCCTCATCGAAATCCGTTTCAGACAATTTGTAGTCGATTTACAAATGTCCGTTCGTCTGTCTTAGGCCGGCTTGGGCGCACGATAACTCTCGAATGGATTAACCGATTTCATCCAAACTTTGGGCATCGTAATATTTCTTCTAAATTTAGTTTAAGCTCGAATATAGGGAATATCGGTCCACTCTGGTACCTCCCCACGATTTTTAAAATTTTGCTGAAAATAATTTTTATAATGTCATGCTAACGGACTATTTGATGTGACCCAAACATTGCACAACCTATTATCATTACCAAGCCTAGAACAAGTTCGAAAATGCGACCCATGGGAACACTCCTACTGGTACCTCCCACACAAATAGTCAACATTTTCAATATTTATAAATCCAATATCAGATTTGAACCAAACTTTACACAACCTATTTTCTTTACCAAGTCTCGATCAAATCCGAAGATGGGACCCATTGGTCCACTCCCTCTGGTACCTCCCCCACAAAGGGTCAAATTTTTGGATGTATATAAATTCAATATTAGACGAATGTAATGTCCGATTTGAATCTAACCTTGCATAATACTAAATCAATTCCATAAGGTGTCGCCAACAACGACTGACACAGGGTTTTAGAGATTGAAGGTCTTAGCTTTATTCTTCCACCAACGAGGATGTAATTTGTCATTTTTGGAGGGTAATAAACATCTTTGCAGGAAATGTTCGATATAGGTTCACGTTTTGGTATAGCCATCATAGAAAGATCCCGTGGGTCTTGACCGTAATTTTTCTCAGAAGTGGATGTAATTGGAATTATTTGGTATTTCCCCAATATTAATGCCCCGCCTAATTTTGACAATTTAAAGGTTTTAGCTGCATTAACCCGCCGAATTGGCTAATATTTGGCATTTCGGAATCTTTGAGGTTGAAAAACATCTCAAATTATGTTCGATATATGATCTCTTTTTGGTATAGCCTCCATCGGGTTATTGGATGGTAAAAATATATTTAAAGAATATGTTCTTGAAATTTATTGGTCCATGTTATGAGAAAGGTCCTGCTTAATTTTCAGTATTTTGAAAATCCTGGCTCAAATTTTTAACCTGAGTGTGTATTTGTAATATAATTTTTTAGAGTATGGATACATGAACAACAACAAACATTTACAAGTCCCGACAGATAAAAAAGCATTAAAATGCACACCACACCAATGTTGGTAATATTTACATACCAACAGCCTTTATACATTATTAGCTAGTTTTAAATGTTATGGCACGTTTACAGGTGATAAATATTATCACAAATTTAGTTACATGCTGAGTTACGACCTAATTTGTAACTTCAATAACCTCACAATTTACATATCAAAACTGTTCTAAAACAGCTAACATTTCAGTTGCTGAAAATTTAGTTTACCAAAATAATTGTTTTTGAGAAATGCTTTTGCCATACATTACAAAATTAATTAAATTAAAATTTTTTATTCTTTTCAACTTACCTTACATTACCCGTTGGATCCAAATAGGTACTAGCGTAAATACCACTCAAACCATCCAATTGACATTCATAGGAAATCGATATAACATAAGGCATTTGTGTGTGCAACAATTCTTCCAACTCGATGAAAAGCATTTCACGTTCCTCGGACAAATAGAAGTCCTTAATGCGAATACGCATACGACCCATCATATTAAGGATGCTGATACCATCGATTACCAAATCGCGAGCATGCAAAACAATTAAATTCGTTTCAACATCGATTTCAATTTGTATCGATACGGTGCCGGTGCATGTTTTCGCCTTTAAATCGGGATGAAGGTATATCTTATATTTGATGGGGCGTATTTCACGGGGCAGACGATAAATGACCTGGAAATTAAAAAAAGAATTAATTATATAATACTACATTATAAAGTTAAAGTTTGTATAAAATTACAAACACCACAAGGAAACGATATGCGTGTTATCGTTTCCTTGTAGTTTTTGTATTTTCGATAACATATAACACGACGAATGGCTCAACGCGAGCATTCTGCTTAGCTTAGTATTACTCCGATGAAAACTAAATACACAGACATTGTAGTGCTCAGTCCGTCATCAACGCTATGAAAAGAAGTGATAATCGAGGCAATTTAAGTTTTGATCAAATAAAATTGTCTAGCCAAAGACAAGACAATCGAGGCACACTCATTGTTAAGGGTAAAGTAGCGCTGCATAAGTGCATGAAAAGTTATGATGTAAGTTATATTTAAGGCGTTTAACCTATAATAAATGTAAGATTTGAATCAATAAAACGGTCGTAGGCTAAAAAAGGTAAAGGTAAATATAATCGAGGCAATCTTCTGTTGATTATTGCTGAACTAGTGGGGTTGCAAAACAAGCCTTTGGCTGTGAACGACCCAGATCCCGCTAAACCTATCCCAGCTTCAAACACGTCGTCACACAATACCAGTAATATTTCCGCATGGTATATAATATGGTCTGTTCCCGTATTACAAGAATTTACTATTTTTTACAACGATAACTCTTTTTTCCTTAATGATATCGAAGAAAATAGTAAAATCTAGTACATTCTTGCAGTACGGGAACAGACCAATACTTGAATTCTCTCCCCACAAAAATATATGTAGAGTATTCCCTAAGGTATACATATTCACTAATCCATGTATCACCGATGTGTATTGATTTATAATCGCATTTTTCATGTTCAATCCAGATAGTCTAAAACAATTTATCTATCATAGTAGACCCCCTCTATCCAGGTGGTCTGCAAGGTTAAACACACATAAACTTCTGTTTTGCATTTATTGCTTTGATAATTAGTCATTGCCGAAACTATTTGAAACCAATAAAATAATAACAAATTTATCTTCGCGATAAGGGGCTTTTAGAATAATGAAGAAGTAAATAAATTTCAGTCGGTGTTCTCGACAGATGTCTAGTGTCGAGGTGGAGTATTTTTTATTACATTTTTCGAAATTATGAATTCAGGAGAAATATTAATCGCTTTATATGAGTACGAATTTTCAAAACTTCCCACATATCCCAATCATAATTCCAAATTTCAGGATTCCAGCGTTATCGGTTCACCTAATTACAAACTGTATCATATTTAGTACCCATAAGTACAAATTACCAAAACTACATCAATACCCCAGTATTGATGTATTGTATAAAATTTAGTACCACTTAGTACAAATTTCCATCACTACCAAAATCGACAATCGAAATCTTATTTCATACTTTCAGGAAATAAGATTTCTATTTTCGATTGTCGATGTTGATAGTGATGGAAATTGAATTCTTGATCTATCAAAATGTACCAAATTTAGTACCATTTAGTATATGTAAGTACGAATTTCCAAAACTACTAATATATGTGCCTCAATTCTACACTCCAAAAGTAATATGAATTCCAAATATAGGGTCTCCAGCTCTGTCGGTTCAACTAAATCAAAATTGTATCTAATTTAGTACCATTTAGAAATTTTCGTACACATAAGTACAAATTTCCAAAACTATCTTCACAAAACAATTCTACACTTTGATGGTAAAATTTCTGGATTCCAGCTAGGTGAAATATCGACCCCTCCGAACTATAGTATGCTAAGTCTGAAAAGTGAGTTTTTCAGTAGAAGCTTTCAAAGTATGGAAGTTTCTTTATTGGATTGGCCGATGATTACCAAAATTTCAGTGAATTTAAATTAAGGACCGTAGTATCTAAAAACGTAAAGAACTTTAAAACATGCTAAGTCGACTTAGCATACTATGGTTCGGAGGCGTCGATATGTCACAAGCTTTCGATTTAGACTTCAATTTCATGTAAATGGCGTATAAAACACCCCTCGTTTTTTCAGTTCAAATTAAAAAAAATCTGTAAAAAAACAGTCCACATTTTTCTAAACTTCTGCTTATTTTGAATAAATTTATTTAAATCGATTTCTGTTTTACCCATAAATAACATATACATTTTTCGGAGTACCTCTTTTATATATCCGAAGTGGTGGTCCCCTCCCGACGTTGATCCTTTCCTTACTGTGTTTAAAATTAATTTATATAACAATAAATGAATTGCTTCAAATTTTAAGTAACTTCCCCTTTATTTAAATTCAAGGTAAAATTGGTGGTGGTGGGGCTGTTCCCTGTGGTGGTGAGGATGAGGAGGGCAAAGTTGTTTGTATTGGTGGTATGGGTACTGAAAATGTTGTAGTTGTTGCTGCTTCTGTTACAGCAGCAGTAGTCGTTGTTGTTGTCGTTGTCATGCTTTGTATGTATGATTCCATAACGTCAAGTTTTACACGGGCCTCCTTCAAATCATGCGACAAATCGGAATTTTCAACGGCCAAAACTACCACAGTCACGAAAAGAGCAGTGCACAATAGACCAAAGAATATGGCAGCATGGCGGGCTCTACACTTTTCTAAGAGAACCAAAATTTGTAAATTTGATATCAATTTCTGTAGGAAATCCTTCATCGCTTACCCTTAATTGTCTTCAAAGTCCCGTGCATATTAATTTTGGTCTTATTTTACCTGCGCTTTGTTTTTCGTGGAACTTTTCGAATACTACTAAACTTTATTGAATATTTAACAAACTTTTGGTCAAATTTCTTTTGGTGATCAACACAATTTGTTGGGTTTATTGGGGGATATAAAACTTAACGAATATTTCTCTATTTGATCGTTAACTGATATCTCAAGATAATAAGTTTTTTGTTTTGGTAATTTTTTCGATAATAATTCCGAATACCTCTCAAGCAACAATATCTTGGAATTTTGCAAGTAAGATAAGACCGACCGTCCGAAAGACCTTAGCTGTAATTAACTACAAGAAGCCGCTTCTCGATAGTCGTACGATCAAATGTTTTTTTTATTTTATATATCGCACTTAAATATCGTAAACGAAATTCCATTCAAGTGACCATTTTATTGGAGGACAGTGTTTGTGTTGCTGATATCAGAACCATAAAAGTTATGTTGAGTGCGTAGCTAGATTTCTTAGCAATTGAATCTGTTTGTTATTTTGGTCATTTTATGGTCAATCTGAGGAAATGTTTTATATTTTCTTGTTTTTTTTTTAATCTTTGGTTCCGATAAAAATTATATTACAGCTATTAAGTTTTATCGATTTGTGTTGTACGATATTGAGCTATGTTATCGGTTAAATTGCGAGCCTTTTGGCAGTTTTTTGGATATAAAATTCGTAATATTGGAAAGTTAAGATATTGAGATAATAAACTCTATAAAGGACATATAAGTTATAACAAATAAGTATACATAAGACATGACATGAATTTCAAAGAAATCGGTCAAATCGGGGTATTTTTAGATATAACCCCCATATATGGTGCATAGAACTACCTACATTTTGCATAGTACAGATAATAGAGTAAATAATGGCGTGTCCCATTTTTTTAATTCGTTCAGAATTGTATATATACTTCCCATATTTGTCATAAATGGCGCCCGACGTCTACGTCTATACAATTGATACGAACATTTTTATTGCAAATCAGATTCAGATTTAAAGATAGTTCCCATATATATTCTCATCCGATTTCATGGTACTCCGAAGAAACAATTCAAATTGATCCGAACTAATTTCTCATAGATTTTCGAAACGCCTTGTTCAATAATTAATTTGTTCAAATATAATAAAAGTTGTTTAGATTTACATATAGCTTACATATACAATTCGTTATATTTAGTGTAAATGGCGCCCGATGTCTACGCCTATCAGGAATAAATTCAGCTGATTTTAAACATTTGCAAATATGTTCTGGGTCCATGTTATCAATTTACCAATTTCGACATCATCACCAAAGTATAGATTGTACAAATCATAGTTCATTTGACGGCAATATTCAACGTCAACCCAGATCGACCCATAGATCTTTCGGAGAATTTTTCTCCCAAACACTCCAAGAGCTGCCTCATCTGCAAGTACCCATGTACCCTGATCCATGCACCAGCACGGGTAGTATCAGCGTCTTGTAGAGTCGCTGGTCGTCTGTGTTGCTTACTTAGACCATAGTAGCATCTGTTGGGCAACACTATACTTCTCCGAATTTCAAAACTGATATCATTAGTTTTATTCATGGCGGTACCAAGTTACATAAATTCTTTGAATACCTCGAAGCTGTAGCTCTCAAGTTCCACAGATGGTCCGAATCTACTGGACGTCTTCCGCGTTGATACCATCAGCTTGGTCTTCTCGCCATTTACTGCCTGTCCCACTTTGGCAGATGCTACCGTTCGCAATGTTCTGCCCATTATGTCGATGTCATCGGCATAGGCGATGGTGCCCCTCTTATGATCTTTTCAAGCAGAATTTTAAAAAATCACACGACAAACTGTCACCTTGTCTGAATCCTCGTTCGTTATTCCGAAAGTGAAAATCTGGTCAATGTTGGATTTACCAGGCCTGAAGCCGCATTGGAATGGTCCAATAATGTCATTGACCATTGGCTTCAGTCGTTCACACAGTACGCTGGATAGCACTTTATATGCGATAAGATGGATACTTATATAGTTATATAGGATACTTCTATAGTTGGCACATATAGTCTTGTTTCTTTTTTTGTGCACGGGACACATGATGCTGAGGTTCCAATCATTGGGCATGCATTCCTTTAGCCAAGTTGTACTAATCTGCTGGTGCATGCTCCTGACCAGCATCTGACCAACTGTCTTGAATAGTTCGGCTGGTAATCCATCGGCACCTGCTGTTTTATTATTTTTCATCCGATTAATTGTTATTCTGACCTCAACTTGGCTAGGTGGTATACAATCTATAACGGCATATCTCTTTGATACCAGAAGTTTTGCAAATTGCTCACTCCAGATCCTAAACACGTCAATAATCCTAGTCAATGCAAGAGCTAGACATGTACTCTAATGCTCTAATGCCGCTGGAATTTTTGGTTTCGAACGCTTCGGTGATAGGAAATTATGCCCGCCGTCGAATTTCAGTGATTATATGCCGATGGGTCCAGGCTTTGACTTCTAGCGTAGAAGTAAACTGGTTCTCGAATATTTGTAAAATATTCATCCGAATCCCTCTTACATTCTAATAACCACCTTCGGCATCAACACTGAGGACAACACAAAAATAGGCATCACCCAGGCGCCACCCAGAGGCAAATAGAAACACTGAAATAAGCAAGGGCACAAAAACTTCGAAGAGTTGTTGTTTCTAGGCAACTATAGATGACAGTTTCGTTACCTATAACAGGCTACAGTCTATCATCTTCTTAACTGGCTGCAATTTGAACATTTTTGGCTAAACATTCATATTTTGACATAGCCCGATATTTTCGGATTTTTATGGTCCTAGACGTATTTTCCAATAAAATATTTCCGATTTTCAGAGGATGAGGATGATTCAATAGTTCAAAATTCTAGCCGTATTTAATTTATTTAGAGGATAACAAATATCCTGCGTGACATTTTTGAATACAGGATATTGTACCTCAGGGTAGATAGTGTAAAAAGTTCAGTCTTATCGAACTTAGATATTTTTGTTTCAATTCACTTCAACATAATAACTATCAACTTATGTACTCACCTCTTCGGGATTTGGTAGACCTGTTGGTAGCGTGGGGAATGTTGGAACACCTGAAGGTGCTGTTGGCCATGATGGTAATGTTGGAATACCCTCCGTCGAACTACTGCCACCGGGTGATGAACCTGATGGTGTTGTTTCCGTTGATGCAGTCGTTGGCGATGATGGTGATGATGATGGCGTTGTTTCCGATGATGTTGGCAGTGAAGGAGTGGGTGGTGTATAAGTCGGTGTTAATGTAGAAATCGTATCCAGCTTATCCAAGGCATCCTGTAAGTCATCCTCCAGATTAGCCTTCTCGACGGCCAAGACAATTGTGGACACACAGAATGCCGTTGTGGCCAGACCAAAGAAAATGGCCACATGTTTTGCTGTTATCATCGCTAAATTGGAAATAATTAAATTTATTATTTCCCATATCCTTTTGCAGATTTCAAGGGAACTTACACAACATTGTCGTTTTTAGTTAGTTAAATAGATTATTAAATGGTAGCAGGGAAATTTAATTTATTTTCCCCGATATCGCTTGCATTTAACTTCACCACTGCTGCATACACTCAATTCAACCGAAAATCGTAGACTGTCAATCGTCGACAATCTGACTTAACAGCTAAACTTGATTTCTTTGCTCTGTCCACCAGCAATGTCGTTGATTTTCAATATCACAAGTCTCCACAATTTTTTTCATATTTTATCATTTTCCAGATAGGATATTATCGATAGAAGTTTATCGTTTCGGACTCGGTCGGTGTGATTAGTTTATTGTCTGCAATTTATGGGACGCGAGACGATCACAATCGCCTAAAAACATTATAATGATGATTGTTTACTCTATTTTTTGTTTGTTTCTCTAGGATTGTAAAACATCCGAGGTAATTTCGTATCGATTGCCGTCATAAAGCCACCAAATTGCAACAGAACTTTGTGACATTTAAAGCTGGTACGTGGATGGTAGGGTATAACGATAAAAATAAATATGGGTTAGTATTTATTTTAAATGACCGTTTGAATATTAATGATATAATATTGTATTTTTTATTGCAATGTCATGCTTTTTTTTAGATAAATTATTTTTTTTATAGATTTCAAAAAGATTACATATTCAAAAATTTTGTTTCTCGGTGTAAACTTAAATAACGTTCTTTCAGATAAATATCAGGTAAAGACCCCCTCCGGATGGGGTTTTCTCTAATTTCCACACTTAATGCCATCAATCGTACTTACACGGAAATTAAAAATTTCCGATTTTATTTTATTAAACATATTTTGTAGCTATAGAACTTTTGAAGACCAGTTCAACGCCCAAAAATCTATAGAATGACACATCCCCTTGTCCATACTATTCATCAACTTCAAGAAAGCCATCTACACCAACAGACGAGCGGCCATATAGGAAGCATTGAGCAAAAAGGAAGTATCCCAGAAAGTAATTCAAATATAAGAACTCTCAGTCATCCTTAACGGAAACATAGGCCAACCGCTTCTAACCAACGCTGGAGTAAAGCAAGGATACATTTTGTCACCCCTACTGTTCAAAATTGTACTAAGATATCGAACATTCAGTCAGAATTAGAAGATTATATTGGCTCGTAATGTTGGACCAGATATTAAAATCAAGGCCGTGAGAATTAACCACACACCAGTATAGAAAATATTATATTAAAACGCCTATCAATTGAATATGTCGATAGCTTTTGTTACCCCCTCACAAATTAAATCTGAGTCATGAATTAAATCCGATGAAGTACCCTAAAAGTTTCCCTTATTTATTAAAACAATTCAAGCGCTTTTTTGAAAACTCTTTTAAAAGTAAATTTTGAGCATTTTTCAGCTATTCAAAGCTTAAAATAAGATAATCCCCTACTAATTCTGGCATTAAGTATTTCTATAACTGTTAAGAAATAAGTTAAACCATTCACCAACTTTATGTTAAAAATTTGGAATACTGTGTCTAGTCTAAAGGTGGACCAGTCGAACATACAGGTTTCTCGATAAATAACTCATTATGTTCCACTTATAGTTCCTTTTTGCCAGCATGGATTTATAGAATGCAACCCATTTTCGTTTATCTTCGATCTCACGTACGAAGGTGATTAATGCTTATAGTATTTTTTTTTAATAAATATAACTAATCCACTTCATGCTTTGTGTAAAAGTTACATTAATCTTTACAACATGTTTATCGTTTTAGACTTTGTCTATACAATAAAGAATTTCATTATTCGTCTAGAACTTCAATAGTATTTGTTTCCTGGAATATAATATCTTCGTTTTCCCTGCTATCTTGTGAGCACTTATGTATATGTGTGTATGTATTAAACATTTTACTGGATAATTTTATGTTTGTAGCCAATAATTCCCTTCATTGCAGTGGTATCGGTGTTTTACAAATTAGAGGTACTTAGGGTAATGTGGACTAAAATTTTTTTTTGATTTTTTTTTATAAATTTCTATTCATTTCAAGTTTGCATAACAATGAATGCAGAAATATAACCAAAGCAGCTGTAATTTCGGAAACACATCGGAAATCAAACATTTCAACGGGTTACGCAATAGCAGATGCCTGGCTCTCGTTTGAACTAGGGTTCTTAACATCACACAGAAATTAATAAACTGCCGAACCTATGAAAATTTTTTGGAAAATCACATATTTTCGATCAATTAGGAATATCTTCACCGCTATTTATAGCGTAGGTACATGCTTGGTATAGCTCCCATAAAAAGTTCAGAACAATTTGAGCCATTTGCATGCTAGAGGGTGTAAAATATTCGACCCGTTCGAACATGACGAATTTATGTACTTGTTTTATTTTCAATTTAATTTTAATATTGACTACCATATGCCACAAACTACCACTTACCTACACCCTAACAATGATCATAGCTCCAAATGTCAGGATTCCAGCTCTACCGGTCCACATAAAATTCAAATTGTACCAAATTTAGTACACATATTTAAGAATTTTTAAAAACTACCTACATCATACAACCAATGAAAATCTTATTTCCCGATTTCAAGATTCCAGCTCTATCGGTTCACCCAAATCAGCATTTGGTACCATTTAGTACAAATTAGTACGAATAATCCAAATTATACCCCAAATCCTACAGCTCCTAACTCAAAATTTTAAGATTCCAGCTCTATCGGTTGACCTTAATCCAAATGTGGCATCATTTAGTACACAATAGTACGAATTTCCAAAACTTTCTACATACCCAAATCCTACATCACAACAGTGCTCCTAACTCCGAATTCATTTGTTTGGCCCAAGGACGAACCATATTGAAATTGGGAAAAATCGGTTCAGATTTAGATATAGCTCCTATATATAGTTTCGTCCGATTTCATGAAAATGGTGCACCAAAGTCCCTATATATGCTTCGTTTTGCACGAAATTTGGCATAACGTACTGAATTGAGCCTAGAGTTATGTGTGCCAAGTTTCGAGAACTATATATGGGAGACTTAGATGTAGCTCCCATATATAGTATCGTCCGATTTCATGTAAATGGTGCACCAAAGTCCCTATATATCCTTCGATTTGCACGAAATTTGGCATAACGTACGGAATTGAGTGATGTCTGCCAAGTTTCGTGAAAATCGGTCAAGGTTTAGATATAGCTCCTATATATATTTTCGTCCGATTTAATGTAAATTTAGTCCAGAATGATGTGTGCCAAGTTTCGTGAAAATCGGTTGAGATTTAGATATAGCTCCTTTTATTATAGATTGATTTTCAGTAATTGACGCAAAAAGGAACCAACTCCTCATGTTAGTCAGATTGACATCAAATTTTGCACAACGTACAAAATTGAGCATAGAATTGCGTAGTTTCGTTTTCTAGAAGTACAGATATAGCCCAACGGATGACCTATTTATATATGTTTGAAGTCGATTTGCATACTTTGGTCCCATTGTAACAAACGAATGACATGTGTATGGATAGATCTAGGTAGATTCACATTTAGATAAATATCACATATATAAAATATCCTGTTTAATATACCTATAGTGGTGAAGGGTATCATATAGTCGGCCCCGTCCGACTTTACTACTTTTCTTACTGGTTTATTAGTACAGGTTAATAAAATTATCATACTGGTTGACTACCTTATCCCAGTATCCCAGTTATGCGTAAATTCGTAGCATACTTTTAGATGCTTCAATTACATAACAACATTTTGATACACCCTCTTATAATTACTGCCAATATAAAATGTATATGTGTCGCCCTGTCTTTTGAAGGGTGATTCAGTTATACAGCTCAAATAAATCGTAAACACAGTTTTAGGATTATTTCTGAAAAATTAAATATATATTTGAAGATTTAAAAGTGAAGACAAATAATTTACAAACTTTTGTTGTAGTTTTTTGCGATTAAAGGAAAGTTCCTACTTTTGATGGCGGACATTATACTTCTCACTGCAAAATCGGTATCCGAAAATTAAAATTTTTTGAAACCGAGAATGTTTATAAACATTTTATATTTTAGCGATTTTCTATTTTTAATTTGGTGCCGTATAAAATCCCAAACTTTGCTAAGAATAATAATTATCGTATTACATATTTTTCCCAAAGAACCTGAATCTTAAGGCCTTCTCCTCAAACACATTTTTATTACGAAATATCCATGGTTTGAAATGTCCATAGGACTAAAATAAAACACATATTTTTGTGAAAAATACAACTGAATTCGTAATTATTTATTATAATCAAATTATTTTCTAGATAAAAAAATAAAATTTAACATTATATTGCCTCTAGTTATTTAACCAATTCTCAACATCCTTCAAATTGTTCTTTAACCAATTAATGTTATATTTTACAGTTTCCAAAGCCTGTTTACGTGAATTGGTACCGGCACCAGCTTCAGGATATTTATTAAAGAATTCTACCATTTCTTCATATTTAGTTTCACTAGTGAAACGTTCAGTAATTGTTGGGATCATTCGGCCGAAGTAACGATCATTCAAACCGAAACGTTTAACCATTGTCGGCCAATTTTCACGAACATATTCCCAGACAATTGGTTCTCCCACGGGATTAGCGGCAATATTCTGAATGCAAGTGAAATAATCTTGGCTGCGTACATAATCTTCGTTCCAGGCTAAGTCGATGAATCTGAAAAGGGAAAGAAAGGTAAGGGTTTCACATATTTTTCAATGTCTTTATGATGTTACATACCTCTTCAAGATCCATGGTTCACGAATAGCAGCCAAACCATACATAAGTTTCAACTTTTCACTGGAATCTTTTTCGGCAACGAAAATGTCCCACAATTGTTCCCATTGTTTTTGTTTACCCAATCGTTGCATGCCGTAATAGTAAATAGCTTCTCTTAGATCAGGTTCGGGTTTGTTGGTGGGATTGGCTAAGAATGCGGTAAAGCGGGTAGAGGCTTCTTCCAGACAATCTGGCAAGCCCAATGAACAGGCAGCAGTGATTACACTGACACGAAGACGACTAGAAAAATGAAGAAAGTATTTTAAATATTAAATCTACCTTTTTTATATATCTATGTACATACTTCTTCAAATGGTTGTCTTCATCGACATTCCATGTCACCTCCTTGTACACCTTATTAATCAAGGAACGAGCATACATCAAATAATCCACATAAATATCGGTTTGCATCAAATTTCCCTGCAGAGCCTGAAGTTTTGTGGCGGCAACATACCATGGTACAAAGTCAGATTCTTTTTCTAAATACTTTGTCATATCCAAAGCAACTTCATAGGAAATTTGACTGGCATCGGCCAAGGCGAAAACATCATTCAACAAATGAGCACGATCGGCAATATCGAATTTCTCGGGTGTAGCAACTAAAGTCGAAATAATTTCTTCCCACATATCGTATTCATAATTGACGCGATAATAACCGACTTGGTGGTTGTTGAATTTCAACCATTTGGTACCCATGGGTACGCTTACCGAGACCGATGATTTATCATAATCCAACCAGGTACGACGCACTGTTTTATCACTGTCATAGAAATAGGTTAGGGGAATGGTCCATTTGTAGCTGAAATGTTTGGAAATATATGTTAGTAATTTTGTAGACCAATATTCAATATTCAAACATACTTAAATTCAGAATCGTTATAGTTGCCATTATAATCTTCAACATTAGAGAAGAAACGTTGTTGAGTTATTTCGAAAGTGGTTAAAGAAGTACGTTTGACTTTGATCACTGGCAGACCCATTTGTTCGGTCCAGGTGCGCATCATTGCTCTGGAAATGATATATAAAAATCAATTTCAATTTACTAAAACCCGCTACGAAATCTCATCTAAGAGGGCAAATTTGTTTTAACCCTTATTATTATTCCTTTATTAAATTTCCAACTTACTTGACATCAAAACCAGGATTAACATTGGCCACTTCGGTAAGGAAATCATCGGTAACGGCATTCTTATATTTGTATTTTGTCAAATAATTGGTAACAGCTTGTTCGAATTTCTCCGAACCGACAATATCTTCCAACATGCGAATAACCGAGGCACCCTTTTCATAACTGATGGTATCGAAAATTTCATTAATTTGATCGGGTGTTTCTACGGTCTGAATAATAGGGTGAGACGCTGGGGTTGAATCGAATTTCATAACACCGTGCAAGGCGTGCAACAAAAATTGATCGGTCTGAAAATAAAAAGAGGAAATAAATTATAATTATGTCAATTCCTAGAAATGCACTTTTCTGATTTGTTCAGACCAAATTGTAATAGGTTGGGCGCCATAATACAATGACCTTAAACTACCTTATTCGATCACGGATGCAGTTTGACAGCTCCGGTATCACAGACAAGGGATCCTCCCGATCACTTAGAACATCAGAGTTCATTTGTTATGTTAGATTTAATAGAAAAGGGATCTTCTGCGATCACCTAGAACCTCTGATTCACTTGTTATCTAGCACTTTAAGACTTTACTTGTCAATCTAACATTAGTACTGACAGACTTTTTCGTCGCCGTCCCTAATCCCAAGATTTATTTATGATATTACCTAAATGGTCTGGCTAACGAATATTCTGGGAAGATATTCAAAAATATCCCTAACCTTTAAGCGCACATATTTAAAGGTGATTGCATGTTGGGCGCCATAATCAAATGGTTTGAAGCCATTGTGAAATGAATAATGAAATATCATTTGCCTCTTATAACATGCTGTCCTGCTCTGAACACAATCCAGCAGAGTTTTTCGAAATTTAAATCTATATAATCAGAAACGTTATTATTCTGAGTAGATGATTGGTCCGCTGCAGTCTGTCCTGCGCGATGGGGCTGCCCTCTATCGTTTACTAGAAACTACTAAGCGTCTTCAATAAAACCAAGATCTCTTTAAAATATCATCTGAACAATTAGTCTTGCTAACGAATATTCTGAAAAGGTTTGTTATATCCCTAACCTTTAACTTAACATATTTAAAGGTGGATTCATTTTGGGCGCCACAATCATATGGTTTGAAGCTTTGTAGATCATGAAATATCATTTGCCTTGCAATAACATGCTGCCTTGCTCTGAGCAAATAGTATTTCCGAACGAAATGTTATACATTTTTCCAAATTCTAAACTCACATTCCATGTTGGGCGCCATAATCAAATTTATTTTATACGGAATGCTCATCGATCCATTAGAGAATTTTCTTAGTCTATATAATCAGAAACGTTATTATGCTGTGTAGATGTTTGATCCACTGTTACATGTCCTTGGCGATGAGGCTACCATCCATCGGTGCTAGAAACAACGCCTCCTTGAATTTTGCGCAGTAGCTGTGGTTTGTGCTTATCCGGTGTTGTCATTTCTCTGAGGGTGGCGCTATATGGTTGGTTATTAGAATGACATCGATTTCGGGTGTATTTCATCTGGGAAATGTAATCCTCCATATACATATATTCGGAAAACCACTTTGAAATAATTTTTCCTCCTCCACTGGGATTCGAACCTTGTACCTAATGGTTTATAGGCTGACATATTCTATTGTCCCACCCCATACGAAGTACTAATCTTTAAAGCTTCGACTACGACTTGCAACTTCCCTTAAGAGAGGTGGGTCCTTTAAGGGGCTTATTGTAAAGGAGATCGGCGTCCAAAATCAAGTTTGACTCTGATATTCCTTTATTAATTGACATTTCTTACAAAGCCAACTTAATATGTCATGACTGAATCCTCGTATGTGTTTCCCACTTTATGGAAAATATTTTTGTAGAAGTGTTTTCCACAACGAAATCCCGAACCCCTAATTTTGGTTACTTAGTTGGGATAGCTTAGTTCATACGTTCATTTCAGTGAATGCTTTAATTGAACTAATACTTTGCTTGATAGACTCATTTTGGACACGGTTAACATCCCGATTCGACCATAAACGATTTTAAAGCTTATTTTATAAAATATGTAATACGCGGTAGGTGTCCTTGTAATTAGCTAGGAGTAATACAAAAATATTTTGCCATTATCGGCATTACACACTACTAATTATTTAATTTTAAATGTTGTCAACCTTACTTTTTAAAATGAATATCCGCTTATTACTTACCAAGCCCCAACTGGGATTAATAGCGTTGCTAGCTTTGTATTCCATAAAGCGGGCAAAACCTTCATTTAGCCACATATCGTTCCACCAGTTCAAGGTAACTGTAAAACACAAAAAAAGGGATAAGTTGGGTAGAAATTTGAAAATCTTCTTAGAACTTACCCAAGTATCCAAACCACATGTGCGCCAACTCATGGGCAATGACAGCAGCAACACGTTGCTTATTCCATGTCGAACTCATGCTGCGATCGTACAAGAGAGCCGCTTCACGATAGGTTACCAGACCCCAGTTTTCCATGGCATTTGAAGAGAAATCAGGAATGGCAGCCATATCTGAAACACGAAATAAAAACAGAAATCCGTTAATATAAAAAAATTAATTTAGTTTATAATGAATAATCTAATATGAATTAGAACCATCCCGAGTGAATTAGAGAGCCATCCCGAGTTTAAAATTCCTCATTAAATTTTAAATTATTTGTTTAAAATCATTTTACTTACCCAATTTTGGCAAAGGATATTCAACCTTATAGTAATTAATGAAAAAATCAATGACAGCAGCAGCCGTATCAGCAGCATATTCCGCCTTCGACAATTGATGTTGTGTTGCAAATACACGAACGTCAAATTTCTCACCAATAGCTGGAGTTACAGTTCTGGTGGTACTAACAAAATCGGAAATAATGAAAACAGCCAAATAGGTACTCATTTCAACACTGGTGGCAAACAGAACTTCAGTGTTCTCGTCCAAGAATGTGGTGCTCTGAAAAATGGAATATCGGATTTTTTTTTTCAAAAAGCTTTAAACAAATTATTTATCGGCAAAATCTTACCTCAATATTCATATTGGATAGAGCATGGTAATTATCGCCAGTTGGTGTTACCAATGTAATACTGAATTTAGCCTTCATATTGGGTTCATCGAAACAGGGGAAAGCTTGACGAGCATAGGTGGGTTCGAATTGTGATGTGGCAATGGTTCTGGAAGAAGTTTAGAAAATTTAAATTATTAGAGATTTATTTGGCATCGAAAAAATTAGTAAAAAGTATTACATTCTTGCAGTATTATTTACAACAAACCAATTGTAAATAATAACAACTAAAAGCGTAGTTAAGTTCGGTCCGGTGGTATTTTTGTACGCCATTCATCATTTTATTTTAAATACCTAAATTCGTCCGGGAACCTTACATGAGAACTATGCGAAAAAATTATTAAGGTCTTCTTTGTTCAGTTTCTCCTCTTCGAAGGATAGGAGCATCCCGATTAGAGGTCCTTTACGACTTTAACTGCTGACCATGTGCCATAGAAGTAACAGTTTTGCTGGAATGCCATGGCTTTAAACACCTCTGAACGTATAAGTCTGTAGAATGCGACTTTATAGCCGACGAATAGGTAATGTGATATGTGTTTTTCGTGAGTCTTTTCCAGGATTAGGCGCAGAAAGAAAGTCTGGTCAATGGTGGATTTGCCAAGCCTTATATGCTTATAACGAAAAAATGAGAGCCACTTCGGCTGCCGAATACGGCAAAAAGTACCGAATATGGGGTGTTATTGCAAAACATTTTTGGGAGGACTATTGCAAAACCTGGCCACTGTACGTATAAACTTCGAATGTTCTATATTAACTGTCGTGATTGCAACAAAACATGAGCCGACACCCGTGTCACCGATGTATATTTCGGAATGGCAACGGCTATTAAAATTTAACTCTCAAATTATTGAATATATATATATATATATAACAGTACGTCATGCACTTAAATGTACTAAGTGTAAAGCACCCTTAAACTATCATTCAATATTCTATTAATATTCATAGCATACTTTTAGGCTATAAAAGAAAAATATAAAAATAATTGTTACTCACCTCTTCACATTACTTGGCGTCAAATATGAGCTACTATACAAGCCAACAATTTTACCCAACATTTCACCTTCGAAAATGATGCCCAAACGCATACTGCTTCCGGCTGCCAACACATCTTCCATGTGGACAATTAAAAATTCACGAACGGTGTCAAATTCATGGCTGGCCACCTTGACGCTACCGCTTTGTGTGTAAACACTGGTAATTTTCAAGTTATGCGAATGCAGAACAATTTTTTGGGTATCCTCAATTACGCTAAGCGTAATTACTTCTTGACCCGTGAATGTGCCCGTTTTAATATCAGGATGCAAATACAAATCATAGAATGTGGGTTTTATGGCCGTGGGCAAACGATAATCAATCTGAAATGATATAAAGAAAATTGTATTTTTTAGATTTCAAAATTTTGATATTATCAAGGTGTCGCGATATTTGAACTATTTTGCCACCCATAAATGATGAGTGGTCTGACACTGTGTAATAAAAATGGGCTGCTAGTAAACAATTCATAAAATTATATTACTACACAATATGAATTTTTCACAATTTATGGATATTGTTTTTAGTGATATCAACACTATATATATCAATATCCAATTTCCAACTAAATGAATATTTTTTAATATCTTATCAAAAGACGTGTGTGTTTATATACGAAAACAGAATTGATTGGGTTAATTATTATATTTTTATGATTTTTACATACGATATTGTACTGAAAATAAATCAATTACATGTTTATTGTGGTCAGCAAGATATCAGGTGGAATATAAAATTCTATTCCATCATTTGTAATATTATTTTTCGTTTATTATTCCTCATATCTTTCCAATATTCAATTTTATGACGGTGTTGTCTGGACTATTAACGACATAGCGATATTGAAATTCATTTTGAAATATAATTGCAATATACGATATAATTACATGGGCTCTATGTTAAAAATTGGGCGGATTTTTAAATTGCTAAATTCGAAAAACTAAATTTAAAAATTTAACATTGGGCGCCATATTGAAGAATGATCATAATGTACATGCCAACAAATATCCATAATACCAACGAATTGGTGATCTGAAGTACTTAAAGTACTTTAAATGTCATTGGACGCCATTTCAAACTATTAACCAAAATGTCCAAACTCTGTCTTAAATATTGTCTGCTCTTTTGTGATATCAGTCTTGACGTAGATCTTACAGGAATCGGCGATTATAGGCACTTGTCGGAAACAAAATGGTCTGAGCAACGCTTCTGTGAGCCAAGTGTAATAAACTTGCAAATAATGATCTTTGTCACTTAAAACGAAAACGATGAGACCTTTACTATAATGTAGATCGATATAATTTTTGGCCCTACCAAATAGTAGCGAACAAGATACCCCAGAACCAATAAGAGATGCCGGTTTAGATTGTAGGGGAGAGGGGGGCACCTTTGAACGTGGGGCACCTTTGAACAGCGCTCATAAAATCTTGGTTTAATATTTTTCCGACCCGCAACCACATTTTTGTATATGGCAATCTTGTTCTCTATATGCGTAAACCACTTTGGCTTGCTTTTTCACTTGTCGAAAAATTGTGCATGGGTGACCATGTTTTCTGAGTGTCATTGTAAACTTTTTTTCATTTGGTTGTAAGGGCGCAGAAAGAATTCTGTGATAGTTTTCTTTCGTCAAACAAATTTGTTGCATTCCAACTATCATTTCAAACATAACTAATGTAATTTCTTTCATATATATTTATTACAAAAAAAGTTATTTAAAATTTCCGTAAAATGCCATGGGTGGGGCACCTTTGAACATGCCCATTAAATTCGAGTAAAAAATGAGTTTTTAACTTTTGGATTCGATTTCTCAAAATTTCAAATGGGCTAATAAGATTACGAAATTAACGGTATTTTTCACCATATTAATTTTTGTTTTTAAGTCATTTTATGTTTTAATAACTTTTGATCTAAATTTTTTAAATTTTGAACATTTTTTATATATTTTTTAATGAATTAATGCATTTCTGATATATATGAATAAAATACATATATATTTGAACAGAAAGACTGTAAAAAACCATGCCGTTCAAAAATACCAAGCTTTGTTCAAAGGTGCCCCCCTGGGGGGGGCAGTTTTGAACACTTTCACTTCCTCCATTAAAACAGTAATAAAATATGTATATCAAGCTTATGTCATATGTATATTCATTTTAAAGGTTACATATGTACCTATTAGTTAAAATTTATGAGAAACCAAAAATTATAAAATGAAAAATTTTATAAGGCTTGAAAGCAAAAAGTGTTCAAAGGTGCCCCCCTCTCCCCTATACCAACTAGCATATATAAGGTCAGAATAGCAATTAATCGGCGGAAGAATACTAAAGCAACAGGTGTCATCTTAGGCCCTGCTGATGGGTTACCAGCCGAACTATTCAAGACCGGATGCTGATTAGTACAAATTGGCTATAGGAATGCATGCCCAATGATTTGAACCTCAACATCCTGTGTACCGTGCACAAAAAAAAGAGACCAACTATAGAGGAATATAAATCGCAGTGCAGTGTGAACGATTGAAGCCAATGGTCAATGATATTATTGGATCTTATTACTGCGGTTTCATATCAGAAAAATCGACTATAGACCAACTTTTCACACTGCGTCAAATCCTGGGAAAAAATCCACGAAAAACACATCGACACATTCCACCCATTCGTTGACTATAAATACGCGTTCCACAGCCAAATCCGCCCAGAATAGTTTAAAGAAATGTACGCGTTCGGCATTGCTGCAAAATTAATACGGCTATGCAGGATAACTTTAACTGGCACAAGATCTACAGTTAAAGTCGGAATGGGCCTCTCGGAGCCCTTTGATACCGAACCACAATTCAGACAAGGTGACAGTTAGTCGTTTGACCTTTTTAACATCCTGCTGGAAAAGGCCACCGATGACATCGACATAACGGGTCGAACATTAAGAGCGGCAACAGCCCCCATTGAACAAATTGAGAAGGAGTCTGCCAAAGTGGCACTGTCAGTAAATGGCGAGATGACCAAACTTATGATGTCAACGCGGCAAGACGTTCAGTAGACTCGGACCAACTATGTCTCTTGAAAATAGAGCTCTGAGGTAGTCAACGATTTTATATACCTCGGAGAAGAATAACAAATGCTACCACGGTCTGAGAAAACAATTTAAGAACAAGGTCACCTCTCGCCAGACCAAAATCACACTCTACAAGACGCTGATACTACCCGAGCTGGTGTATGAATCTGAAGCATGGGTACTTGCGCAAGCAGATGAGGTAGCTCTTGGAGTGTCTGAGAGAAAAATTATCCTAAAGATCTACTGGCCGATCTGCATCGAGGGTGAATGTCAGCGTCGAATGAATCACGAATTGTACCGCGAATGGATGAAGGTGCCCCAGCTCAAAAGGCATATAAAAGAGAGCCTACTTATGATTCACGCAGAAGAGAAAGGCTACGAATTCGATGGAAAAATCAATTAGAAGACGGCATTTCGAAACATCGTCTTTCAAATTGGATAACCGACGCGCCTGGAAATCTTTTTTAAGCTTGGCTTATAGAACATACGTTCTGTCTCGAGCTAAATAAGTAGATCGGTATTAGAGTATAGACATAAGGCTGGGTTTTTGGAAATTCGAGTTCGAACGTCGGTCGTCATATCAAGAAATGAGCAAAACAAATTTAGCACTACCGCAAATATGAAAACGAAGAAGATGGGATCGTTGACCAAATACTCGTACTTGCATGAAATTTAGCATGGAGATCGGAATTAAAGCTTATGTACGATAGGTGGTATTTTATAAAGTCCCACTAAAAGTTACAAACTATTTCGATTTTCGTTGCCAGGAGATGATGTGTTGAACCATGAAGAATTTAATCCTTATGACTGGAAAATATGTATTTATGTATATTCATAATTTTGTACCGTGATCTTGGTGATTTTGATCCAGATTATTTTATTTGGTTCTTAATTTAATTTTATTTAATTCACAAAACACTTTTCAATTTCAAAATCAATTAATTCACAACATGTCATCATTTGTCACAAAATTAAAAGAAAAAAACTAATCAAACTTACCTTTGTTGTTTCATCCTGCAATTGTTCTGGAACATTTTTCGGTTCGAATTTAAATTCAGCCTCAACGTTATTCAAGTTTCCAGCAAACGCTGCCTCACCATTAAACATGATATGTGGCAAATCCGCTGCCACCAATGCGAGAATGGTAAATCCCAGGATATATTTTAAAACATTCGCCATTTTCACAAAAAAATCCTTTATAAGGAATTACCAACACAACTAAAACTATTACCGGCCTGGACAACAGACCAAGGCAAACTAAATCAGTTGTCGAAATTTGTTGAAGAATTTCCCTTTTTTGCTTTTTCTCGTCGTGTCAGTTATCAATTGGAATTGGTATGCAATTAACAAATATAATTCAGCAACAACAATTAATTTGTTTGTTGTTATTCTTTTCCTAAATAAATATCTGTGTGCGTTGTGTATAGTGTGTGTTTTCGTTGGCGATAATCAGCTATATAACGGAAGATTGCCTGCAATCATTGATTGTGTTTCATCTAAATTAGGGGTGTAGCCATAAACGATAGAGTTCGGAAATAGCCAAACAAATCGGGCAGACATTTTTTGGCAATCTACAATGGTTTCTTTAGTTATTTGATTTGCAGATAGGTAAAAACAAAAATAATAACATATGTTAATTACAATCTCCTGAACAGTAATAACAAAAGTCCACAAAAAGACTTCCATCTGAACAAACATCAGAATATCTTGTAAAATAGTTCAGACTTGCAATATATGACAATGAACAACCATATACCTTGTTAATATTTTAAAAGATCCAAAAAAGTCTTCCATCGAACAAACATCAGAATATCTTGTAAAAAGTCGTGCAATATATGACAATTTCCTATATTTTATTATTTAAAATTTCATCGAAAAGAAGTCTTATCGCAGAACATTGAGACAATTTCCTATTCTCATTTAAAATTTCATCGAACAAAGACCATCACACATACTTTCTTTACTTAACTGGCTTGAGACATGTGTTCCATAACCTTAGCTTAAACAAATTTCAGTGCGCAGTTTTTCCAATTTTAAATGAAATGTTTCGATATGTTATCTTCCACTTTCCACTTTAGATACGTGTACGGTTGGTGTACAGAGTACCATTTCTGTTCACCTTTTCATCTCGTATGCACTTTTCCAGCAGAATATTAAAAAGGTCTCACTATAAACTGTCACCTTGTCTGAACTCTTGTTCGATATTGAAGGGCTCCCAGAGGTCCTTTCCGACTTTAACTGATGATCTTGTTCCAATTAAAGTTTTTCTGCATAGCCGTATTAATTTTGCAGGAATGCCGAACGCAGGCATGGCCTTAAATGCCTTTGAACGGATGTGTTTTTCCTGGGTGTTTTGCACCTATCTATGTTGGATTTGAATGTGGCTTTATCTCTTATTGGTTCTGGGTTATCTCCATCTTAGAATGTGGCTTTATAGTAGACGAATATGTGGAATATGTCGATGTGTTTTTCCTAGGTATTTTCCAGCATTTGGCGCAGTGTGAAAATCTGGACTATGTTGGATTTGCCAAGTCTGAAGCAATCTATACCGTCATCTCTTATTGGTTCTGGGTTATCTCCATCTTAGCTACTATTTGATACCAGAAGCTTTGCAAAATTCCCCTTTCCCATCCTTAACGCGTTATCTACATCTGCCACCAGATTTCCTTCTTCATGTGCCCGCACCAAAGCCGTCTGTTTGGTGTTTTACTTGTTAGTAAAATTTCTGGACTTCAATTAAACTCCTGCACGTCTCGATTTGCTCATGCTCAGGTTTTTCCTGTTATTTCTTTTTTTTAACGTTTCTACTCCCGGATAGACATAGGGCATAGGAAACCTGTAATAAGTGTTCGGAATATAATATACCAGATAATACTTAGGGGAATCTTGGTTATAATATTAGAATTCTATCATTAGTGGTGATTAGTAAAGCAGTAAAGAGGTCGGAGGTATCTGATGAGGGTCACTGGGTAGTGGCCCCTAAGCCGACTCTGCACAGAGAATTTGAAGATAGCTCCGATGGTATGGAGTCGTCTCCCTCGGAATGGGAGTTTGCGGTACAGGGAAAATAAAAAGAGCTCCAACTGAAGTTAAAAAGACCTCCGTGTTGGGTTATCCAGCGAAGAAGTCGCCGAAGAAGGAATATTTAATGACTAAAAGGTTAGTAAGCGCAGGTGGTAGAGAGAGATTGACATAGAGGGACTCGTCCCGCGATGGATAATGTGGTTCAAAAGGCGGTGGTAACGTGATTGCTGTTGTAAAAGACAAAAAGGTCGCTTCTGCAAAAGAGGTGGTTAGAAAGGTAAAGAACAAAAAGTAACGACGAATTATTTTGCAAAACGAAAAAAAATCATCAAGGTTAATTGATGTTGAGTTAGAGCCCATCCTCCAGGACAAACTTGGTGCCTGAATTGGTGTGCATCATGTCAATGCCGAAATTTCAGGAGATGAATAAGACCGTTTATCTGGCGAATGGTCCTTGGAAGCTAGGTAATAGTGGGACAAAAGTGAATGTGGTTTTGGAATATACAGAGCGGGTGGCAGAGAAGCTGTGCTTGGGAGGAACTTACGTGAATGTTTGGATTCATTATCCGTAGACAAGAGGTAGTACCTGTTTGTTTCAGGTGCCTCGTTTTCGATCACCGGGTGAAGGACTGCAGTATGAGCATTGATGTGTGTAGATAGAATGAGGGTTGGGAAAGGTATTGCTGGCTAGCATCTATTGCCAATTTAGATCGCCGTTGAAGCCTAACTTATGATATATGGTTCAGTACCACTCGTCGAGTTAGATACGAAAAAATCCACTCTGCTATGGTTCTCCAACATCAGGTCATGGGAATCACATCCTTAAATCGGTCGGGACCATAAAATGAAGTGCATGTTAAATTTCTAACTCCGTTTGCAACACTTCGAAAGATTGTATATCTATTCCTTATCAGAATAAAATGCTATGCTGATTTAACCATGTTCAACTGTCTGCTTTGAAATATTGCACTGTCATTGCTATTACTAGCAGGATATTTGGTGTGTATCGGTCCACGTTTTGTTTCAGCTTCATTATAACGGCACCACAAAATTTTTGTAATGTGGCATATTGCGTTTTTGGAGACTGACGTCTGTGCAGAAATTTGGCATTCCAAGTTGTTGGTAAAGAAAACGCATTTCCCCAGAAAATGTTAAATATAAGTCAATATTTGTAAATATATTCAGAGGTTCCGCTTTTTTAGCTATGTTCAAATTCGTAGCCCAATTTTTAACTCAGATATTTTATTCTCTAAGAGTATAAAAAAACTACTAGCAGCCAATATACACTATAATTGTCGCCACACAAATGTTCCCGAATTTAAATAAAGTTTATTAATGTTGCAACATGTCTTTATTTATTTCTTTTATTTATTACATTTTATATATAATTAACAATTTCCTAATGTTCCTTCAACCAATTGGCAACCTCCACCAAATTGCTCTTCAACCAGTTAATATTGTATTTAATCGTTTCCAAGGCCTGCTTACGCGATGTAGTACCAGCGCCAGCTTCGGGATATTTCTTAAAGAACTCCTCCATTTCTTCGTATTTGACTTGATTTGAAAATCCTGCGGTAATTGTGGGAATCATGCGGCCCAAATAACGATCATTCAAACCGAAACGATCGACCAATTTTGGCCAACTCTCGCGGACATAGTCCCAGACCACAGGCTCACCAACAGGATTGGCGGCAATGTTTTGAATGCAGGTTACCCAATCTTGGCTGCGAATGTAATCTTCAGTTTCGGCCAAATCAATGAATCTGAAGAGATTACAAATTATGAATATTTATAATTAATAATGTGTGTGGTTTGCGTTTTACCTTCTCAAAATCCAGGGTTCCCTAATGGCCGATAGACCATACATCAATTTCAATTTTTCGCTGGCATCAGATTCGGCCACAAAGATATCCCACAATTGTTCCCATTGCTGTTGTTTGCCAATTCTCTGCATGCCATAATAGTAGACAATTTCACGTAGATCTGGATCGGGTTTGTTGTTGGGATTTGCCAAGAAGGCGGTGAAACGTGTGGAAGCCTCATTCAAACATTCGGGCAAGCCCAAGGAACAGGCGGCAGTAATGATGCTGACACGTAAATGGCTAAAACCAAAAATAATAATTATTAAGTCACCCCGATTTTGTATCAGTACTCACTTCTTCAAATGATTATCGGTATCCACATTCCATGTTACCTCAGTGTATGCCTTTAACACCAGACTACGAGCATATTTCAAATATTCCATATAGATTTCGGTATGCATCAGGGTCCTTTGCAAATCCTGCAATTTTGTGGCTGCCACAAACCATGGCACATATTCAGATTCCTTTGCCAAATATGTAGTCATATCGAGGGCAATGGTATAGGAAATTTGACTGGCATCAGCCAAGGCGAAAATATCATTTAACAAATGAGCACGGTCAGCAATGGCGAATTTATTGGGTGTAGCTACAAGATCGGCAATAATCTCCTGCCACATTTCCTCTTCATAGTTGACACGATAATAACCGATTTGATGTGCATTGAATTTCAACCATTTAGTTTCGATGGGTACTGCCACCGTAACGGAGGATTCATCATATCCGAACCATTTACGTTTAACCGTTGCATCATTGTCGGTGATATACGTGAGGGGGATGGTCCATTTGTAGCTAAACGAATAAAGAAAATAGGATGGTTATATTAAGGAAATACATTTTTATTATTTGCATATGTAAGATCACAGCGGGAGGCAGTTTATTATTAGCATACCTATAGAGATTTTCTAGCTCTAGTACCCATAATTCCTGAATGATTCAATAGGGAATAAGCCTGCATTTTATTTTCTAAGTTTTATAAATATTGGAATTAGTGAACTAATGGCAATCTTCCGACTGGCGCCCAACATTTCTCACGTAACCATTTTCTTCGTATAGAATAATTCTATTTGTAATGATGTTCCCCATTTTTTCACTTATCGATGGATGGATAATAAAGCCATGATTCGGAAACTCTCTGAAATCTTACCGCCCCGGGCTACTACAAATATTTCTGGCCTGAGTAACAATACACTCATTCAAAGACGAAGTTCATCCAATCCCCTCTGTTGGACCACAGAATATTCATGCCACAGCATTCTCCCATAATTTAACAATCGCCCACAAAAGCTCGTGGCTTCGAACAAATTTTCATAAGTGGATAGTTCGGTTTGAGCTACGTAGTAACTCAGTGAAATTCGAAAACGTAGAAGAGAACACATACATACATTGACACCAACCTGCACCTTTTTCACTGACCTGACTCCTAAAGGTATGACTACTCGCAGGACATCATTGGAAATGTCTTGAAGACCTCCCCTTAAAGAAATACACACAAACTTTTCAGATTCGAGATATATGGATTGGAAATGTCCAAACGATGTGGGGCTATGTCAAAACATAGACCTATATATATATAAAATCCAGCATAGATAAATGCCAGCCTCAACAATCTTGAAATCTCAAACTACACTAATTTTTGTGGAAAAATCGGTTAAAACCACCAAAATACCTCTTTCCGAAAATACCAATTTTTCCAAAAAATTTAAATATTTCATTAATAACAGAACTATTTTCCTAGATCACTTTACTATACCAAAATTTTTGCTCTTTTTTCTCTTTCTCTTTTTTGACAAAAACAAATGTATTCCTCCCAAGAAAAAGCTCCACAACCTCCATTCTGACAAGAAACCAATATTAAAAGTTTTAGGAATTACATTCATAAAATGCAGAAAATTGTACATTGGCAACACTTTCTGAACACTATTTATATTTATATTTTTTTGTATCATCATTCCAATACTTACTTGAATTCTGAATCATCATATTCATCCTCGTAATCTTCGATGTTGGCAAAATAACGTTTTTGGGTCACTTCAAAAGTTGTTGGAGAGACACGCTTAACATTGATGACTGGCAGGCCCATTTGTTCGGTCCAAGTGCGCATCATTAATCTGGAAAATAAAAACAAAAATTCAATAGAAATTCCCTTCGAATCTAAATATATATATTTTTTAATATCAAGTAACATACTGCACATCAAAACCAGGATCGGTATTTGCCACCTCGGCAATAAAATAATCCGTTACTGCATTTTGGTATTTATATTTAGTCAAATACGAGGTAACGGCCTGTTCGAATTTCTCAACACCGACAATGTCCTCCAACATACGGATAACCGAAGCACCCTTTTCATAACTAATGGTATCGAAAATCTCCGTAATTTGATCGGGAGTTTCTACTTTTTGAATAATGGGATGAGAGGCGACATTTGAATCGAAGGTCATAACCTTATGTAAAGCGTGTATTATAAATTGATCTTCCTACAAGGTAATGAAAACAAATTAGAATTTAAGTGAATTCAAATGTTGTAATAGATTTCCAAATTTACCATTCCCCAATCAGTGTAGACCTGATCGATGGCCTTGTATTGCATGAAACGGGCAAAACCTTCATTTAGCCACAAATCATTCCACCAGTCCATTGTCACTGTAAGACAAATATATGTTTACATTATAACGGGAACCTTGTGGATTATTAAGGATATGTCATCTTTTGCAACTCACCCAAATTGCCAAACCACATATGAGCCAATTCATGAGCAACCACGGTAGCGATACGTTGCTTATTCCATGTCGAACTGTAGCTACGATCATATAACAATGCCGTTTCACGATAGGTTAACAAACCCCAATGTTCCATGGCGTTGGAGGCAAAATCGGGAATGGCAGCCATGTCTGAAAAAATTAAAAGAAGTTCGGGGTCAAAATCCAATCGAGTCCATTTTTGAATTTTATCTTTTTTATAGAAATATTCCAAGGTTCTCCATAAGGCGGAGTGTATATTAAATTTATCATTCCCTTAGAAACACCTCGAAATATACGTCCACGACTCTAATGACCGGACATGACTATAAATTACAAATAACATGTCCGGCTGCCTGTAGAAATTACGATTGAGGTCACAGTAATAGCTTCATGTTTGACATAGCCTCCAGACAATACTCTCGAGCCATTTTGTTACTCCAATGCGAGGTGGCTGTAATTTGGAATTTCAGATTCTTGGAGGATGAAAAGCAACTGTACAAAAACATTCCGATGTAGGTCCATTTAGCATAACAGGTTAAGCACTGAATTGACTGCAATTTGGCGTTACGGTTTCTAGCAGTGAAAAAATTCCTATGCACAAAGTTATCAAGATAAGTCCCCCTTTTTACGACAACATTTTCAGAGTTCTTTAGCTTCGTTTTACAACCAAGAAGTGACTTTAACTTGGAATTTCAGATTCTTGGAAGGCATATTTTGACATAGTCTCCAAACAAAGGGCAAGTCCCTTTTTCCGTAATTAGAAAGTGTTAGCCTATTTTCCCACAGAAAGGGCTGTAATGTGGCATTCCGGATTCTTGAATGGGAAGGACATTAATGCAGAACATTTTTACTATAGGGCTATCATTTTACTAAGTCTCCTCATAAAGGGGCTGAACCTTTTTTCAGTCTTTTGAAGGTTTTCGTCGCATTTTCCACGGAAGAGGTTGTATTCCGGGTTCTTTGAGGGCTGAAACATCCTTGCAGGAAATTGTCAATATAAGTCACCGATCTGGCTCTATATAACTGCACCGGCATCCCGCTGTATTTTAAAGCTGTTAACCGAAGTAAAAATCCATAACATAGCCCACCTACAAGGAGGTATTGAAATGGACCAATTTTAGTATTTTTATGCTGCTACAATATTCCGGGTTCCTTATAGGTCAATAACATCTTCACCGAAAATTTGTATTTATATGCTCCTAGATGTATTTTCAACACGAAGTGGTTATAATTTTATATTACGGTTCATCATCCTGTCCGCTTTTAATTATTTTGTAGATCGAATAAGAACTTCTTAAACTGTAAGTTTTATGTTCGCAATCTGGTACTTCGTTTCCGTTTAGCATGTTAATATTCCTGTTTTTACATTACATGTAAAGGTCTCGACCTATTTTAGGTATTTCGAAGGTTTATATAGTTCGAACCGTCCAAACTTAACTTCGTTTTTATTAGTTTGTTATCTAGATAAACACACTCGTAGATCCATTTGAACCATGTCGATTTTTATAACATTTGTAATTTTGGAATAAAATATATCCTTTGAATTATTTTATAACTTACCTAATTTTGGCAAAGGATATTCCACTTGATAGTACTTGATGAAAAATTCTGTAACAGCGGCTGCGGTATCGGCAGCAAATGTCGTCTTATCCAGCTGATGTTTGGTGGCAAAAATTCGAATCTCAAAATCGTCACCTAGTTCAGCTTTAACGGGACGGGTGGTGTGAGCAAAATCGGAGACCAAGAAGCATGCCAAATAGGTACTCATCTCAACACTTTTGGCAAAATGTACTTCGGTGACATCATCCAAGAATGTAGAACTCTAAAATTGGAGATTTCGATTAAAACGGGCTCCACAAAATTACTGGTAGTTTACAAATTTACCTCTTCGTTCATGTTTGACAGGGCATGGTAACCATCACCGGTTGGTCGAACCAAAGTAATTGTAAATGTTGCCTTCATATTGGGTTCATCGAAACAGGGGAAAGCCTGGCGGGCATAAGTGGGTTCGAATTTCGATGTGGCAATCGTTCTGTTAAAATTAATACAGTATAAAATATAATAAATTCAAATTTACTATATTATCAGATTAAAAAAAAACTAAATTTTTGTTTTTTACATTTTTGGGCGCATTATAAGGTGGTGGATTTTAAGTATCTATTTTTAATATGTCCGATAAAACATCAACCATAATTTCGTTCCTAAGGTTATCTCTCCCCCAAAATTTAAATTAAATTCCTTAATTTTTTTTTCATTATCACATATTTTAAAAATAATTATTTTCTGTTATTTACCTTATTTCGTTATCGGGTGTGGTATATTTACTGCTGTACAAGCCAACAATTTTACCAAACATTACACCTTCGAATTCAATACCCAATGATATTTTACCACCAGCAATCAACTTTTCACTCATATTGATTATCAAAAATTCTCGAACAGTATCCAATTCATAATCGACCACACTAATGCTGCTGGACCAAGCACCATTTGAGCCTTGTATATAAATTCGTATAATATTCAATTTATGCGAATGCATAATAATTTGTTGGGTATCCTCCAGGACATCAATGGAAATGACAACTTTACCAGTAAAGTCACCACCTTCCAATTTAGGATTTAAATATAGATCATAATGGGTGGGTTTCAGGGCGGAGGGTAAACGGTAGTTGATCTGTAAGAAAATATAAAAATAAAGTATTATTTTAATAGAAATATTTATTATACGAAAATGCAGGCCATAATTTAAAACAGACCTTGGTTAATATCTTGTTGTGAAAATTAAGAAAAACCGGTACCGACAGCCTTATGGCAAAAGAGGGTATATACACTTTGATAGAGTAAAAATATGCCTCATCGAAATATTGGCTTTTGGATCCCATGTTTCTATGGACCAAATCCGTTTCAGAAAATTTTGTAGTCGATTTATCTTACGTAGATTGTGTTCGAAAATATAAACATTCCTACTGTACCTCCCACACAAAATGTTCAAAATTTGGTTGATAATTAATTTCATAATATCAAGCGAACCGCCAAAGTTTAATTATAATATTTGAATATTCATTTCGTGAAGAAACTCCCGAAAAAAGTGGTAGTTAGCACCACCAGATTCAACCATCTCAATATACACAATGCCATTTCTCCTGATCAAGCATAGAGAATTCATATTGATCATGTTGTGATAGAAGTTTTTTATATGTTCCATCGATTCGAGAAGCAAATATCGATTCGGTCCATTCGCACTCGTCTTAATGTAGCAGCAAAAGTGCGATATGACACAACACGGAAGCTCGATGTCGAAAAGTTGCAAACAAAACATGTAGCAGAAGCTTACTCCGCTCAACTTACACACCTGCTTGACGAAAGCACTACTTGTCCCGATAGAAATATAGAAGCACAATGGCAAAGAATTGCCCACTCCCTACAAACTGCAGCAAAAGCAACAATTGGGTACCAAAGACCACCATTGAGAATTGGAGTAAAACACCAAGCCGGCGTTTTGGTGCAGGCACATCCTCCCTTAGGGATGAAGAAGGAAACCTGGTGAAATATGCAGACAGCGTTTTGAGGATCTGGAAGGGGCATTTTGCAAAACTTCTGGTATGAAATAGTAACGAAGAATAATATACTACAGAACCAATTTGAGATGACGGTATACCACCTAACCAATATGAGGTCAGAATAGCAATTAATCGGCTGACCAGACGAACTATTCAAAAAGGGTGGTCAGACGCTGATCAGGAGCATGCATCAAGTGATTTGTACAATTTGGCTAGAGTAATGCATGCCCAATGATTGGAACATCAGCAGACTGCGTCCCGTGCACAAAAACTGAGACAAGACGATATGTGCCAACTGTAGCGGAATTAGTCTCCTTCCCATCGAATACGAAGTGTTAGCCAGTGTGCTGTTTGAACGACTGAAGCCAATGCTCAATGACATTATTGGACCATACCAATGCGGCTTCAGGCCTGGCAAATCCACCATTGACCAGATGTTCAATCTGCGCCAAATCCTGGAAAAACACATCGACACATTGCACCTATTCGTCAACTATAAAGCCGCATTCGACAGACCAATCCGCCCAGAGGCTTTTACAGTCATGTCTGCGATCGGCATTCCTGATTAATTAATACGGCTATTTTGTATAGCTTTAACAGACTCAAGGTCAGCAGTTAAATCCGGAAGGGACCTCTCACACCCCTTCAATACCGAACGAGGATTCAGACAAGGTGACAATTTGTCGTGTGACCTTTTTAATATTCTGCTGGATGAGGTCATACGAGATGCAAATGTGAACAGAAATGACACTCTTTACACCTAACCGCACATGTTACCAGCCCTACGCCTGTTGTATGAATCTGAAGCATTGTTACTTGTACAAGCAAAAGAGGCAGCTGTTGGAGTGTTTGATAGAAAATTTCACCGAAAAATCTATGGGCCGATCTGTAGCGACGGTGAATATCGCCGTCGAATGAAACATGAGCTATACCATCTATTCTCGGACATCGACATAGTCAGACGTATCGAGCTGCAACGACTACTTGTGTACAGATCAAGTCCTTCGAAATACAAAATTAATTATTTTAATTTTTATCTTTATTAAAATATGCATACATTTTCGGTGACAAGATTTGTTCGACCTATATATCCATTTTTTATATAAATATTCAGTTATTCTAAGAAGTTCGAATATTTGTTGTTGGAAGACCTCATTAAATTGTAATGCTTATCAGTGTTGAATTTTAGCCCATAACAAATATATGACTCAATGACATTTTATTCAATATACCATTTGCGATAGTATCGCATCATATATTTTTCTAATTTAAATCACTATATAATCCTTTTCGATTATTCTCGTGTTATATAATTTGTTTTCTTCCCGACTCACCTCATTTTCATCATCGGCCAAGGAGCGGGCACTTCGTGGCTTTGCCTCACCCTCTAACAACGATTCCATATAATCCAATTTTTCGCGGGCATCCTTTACATTGGCATTCAGGCGGGCATGTTGAAAACCCAAAACAACAGTGGACACTGAGAAGACAGTTACCGCCCACAACAGCAACCAACGAACACTTTTATTGCTTCCGAGCATTTTCGTAAAACTACTACCGACCGGTCCGTTCAACAGACCATTTCGAACTGAAGGTGGTTCACATAAAACCAAATAATAGATTGCATCTAATCTCGAAGCTATACCAAATCGTAATCGATTTATTAGCCACAAATGTGTGATTTCATTCATACGATGTGATATAAAATGTGGAATTGATTGTCGGCGATTAAATGGTGGTGATTGTGATAATTGTACACTGGGAAAATTTGGAAGTGTGTGTGTGTATTGGAATTTTTTCAAGAAATTGCGCTAGTTGGAGTACTTACCACCTTAAATTTACATTTTTGTCCATTTGAATAAGAAACTATCCTCAATAAAGTTGTTTAATGAGGCATACATAATCAAATATTCAATATACGGTAATAATGACTTTTCATATGACTAACAAATCATTCGCGCGAATCTTATCACTCAAATCAATAGTGCATATCTGGGCCAAACAAACTCCCATTATTTATGTTCAACATATCGTTTAATTGATATGCCGAATAGAATGTCATTTGAATTGAACAAATTGACTATGTCATTTAAATGATATCTAATCGATTATTAGCTAACACAAATTATATTTGTAAAAAAAATAAATAATGGGCGTGTGTGAGAAATTCAGAACTCTTTCTGCTACACTCATAAAGAACAATTTGAAAAAAGATAAGATGGTGTCAAATAATAATACAAAATGTTCGTAGACCGATTATAGAGAAGCTAAAGCCTTGGTATATCATGAATATTCCGGCGATAACAACCTCGTCATTCTAAGGCTGCCGAGTTGACTAGTTTTGTTATTGTCGGATTCTGACTACATAAAAAATATATTCTATAATTGAAAACAAAGTTAAGTTCAATCGGTTCGAATTTGTAGACCTTCCATTATATGTTGGATATACCTAAAATCGGTCGTTCCGAAAAACCAAATTTCATAAATTGTTGTGTGACGCCATCCACAGATATTTCCACAGAAAATCGAAAAACGAACAAGAGAAGATTAATCCCATTGTTTGGAAATTTGTGAATAGGGCTCTCAATTACCCATTCATTCTAAAATATAGAATACATCAGAACCTGAACATAAATGTTAACATACATGGTACAGTATCCGGAAAATTTAGTGTTAGTACTTGCCATTTGGCCTACCCCACAGTGGCTGATCTACAGGTGGAATAACGCCCACCAGCGCACCACCACCGTAGTGCTGTACCATTTGGAGAGCAAGTCTGGCCGGTCCAGAACAAACGTAGCGTCATGAATAAATTCGTATGTCACTCTGACTGTCCATCCACCTAGTTCTCCACATATCAATTACACACTCCCGAAAAATATTGCTCTACCGCATACTATCCCCATTCACCAAATCAGAAGGTCTGAGCCAATCATCCAACTGCAAGCCACTCTTAAGCGTGTTCTTTAAAGCCTTACATCCCACCTCAATATTAAGCGGCACCGCGACAAGCAGCACTTGTCTCTATTAAAACCCTACGACCGCTGCCAGGATCTCCTTCAGCCGACCACTACAGAGGATCCATCATGAGGTTCCATATACATGGATCACAAATGGAACCCTGTGAGCAACTTCGCTGCACATCCATCCAGACTGAAGCACTGGCTCCCACAACACAAGCCTTCCTACCTCGGAAATAACTCGCCCAAGGAACATCAGTTATACCCTATATTATAATAATATTTAGACTCGCATTCATTGAACATCAGTTATACCCTATATTAAAATAATATTTAGACGGACGGTTCCGACCCTGTGATACCCTACACAATTATCATTTGACTTTTATGTTTTCCAGAACGAAATTCAAAATCCAAGCTATTTCTTATCCCATATTTTTATTGACACATCTTTCCCAATTAGTTCTTGTTGATAAGACTGCCATCTATCGCTGCCTAGAAACAACGTCATCTTGAATTTTGTGTAGAGGTTGATGTCTTTATTTATTTAGTGTTGCATTTTCCTCTTCGTGACGCGAAGTTATCAGGAGTTTATCTGTTGGAGGGGTGTGAGACATTCTTTACAAATGTTCGAAAAAATATTTAATATTGTTTCCCCAAACGGCTGGGACTCCAAATCGGCAACCAATGGTCTATATTAATTATATTAAAAAAATGTTGTCGTATTATGATGATAGAACACAAAATTTCCTACGGAAGTGGCAGTACTTCGGCAATTCGGGTTCGCAGACGCTTAACGATGCAGACAGAAAATTGATCAACATTAAGTTTTTGGTACTGTTGTTACTCTATCGGTGCTCTATGAATTCCGGGATAGAATAACTCGCGGATCTCGCTCGTTTACTAATCCAGCTATCTTTACTGAGGAGTTAAGTCATTATTTGGGTATTCGATTCGCATCTATACGGAAATACCTTTCTGCTACCCGAACATCAGAAGGATTGGGACATTTTATCATGCAGCGACTGGTGAAATCTCTGTTCAATATTCATGAAATTTTACCACGAATTTCCAAAAATTCCAATACCTTAGCTGCAGTCTATCACCCACTTTAACGCATTTTTATTCTTAATTGCCGGAAGTTAAAAAATCAACATTGTTTTAAAAATAAATATCAAAATTTTATTAATTCAAGTCGATGCAACGACTATCTAATTCGTGTGTTTTACATTTAATTATTTTAAAACTATTTCCAATAAAACAATAACACCCCACACTTATTGTTTCAACAACCAGTTGCGAACCAATTCCAAATTGTTCTCCAACCAAGCAATATTATTTTTAACCGTTTCCAAGGCACGGACACGGGCAGCTGTGCCGGCACCAGCTTCAGGATATTTGGCAAAGAAGTATTGCATTTCTTCGTATTTGGTTTGGGTGCTGAAACGCGATGTGATCGAGGGGATCATATTGCCCATGTAACGTTCATTCAAACCGAAACGATCGACCAATTTTGGCCAGTTTTCACGAACATATTCCCAGACAATGGGTTCACCGATGGGATTGGCTGCAATGTTTTGTAGGCAGGTGAAGTAATCTTGACCGCGAACATATTGATCGTTCCAGGCCAATTGGACGTAGCTGAAAATAAAATAAGTTCCGTAATTAATTATTTGAAATATTTTTTTAAGGTAATTTTTCATCTTACCGGCTCAAAATCCATGGTTCCTGCACAGCAGATAGACCATACATCAATTTGGACTTTTCGCTGGCATCAGCTTCCGATACAAACAATTCCCACATTTTATTCCAGCTTTCCTCATTGCCAGAATTCAACATGCCATAGTAGTAGATAGTTTCACGTACATCGGGATGTGGGCGAACACTGGGATCGGCCAACCATTTATCGAATTCAACGGAAGCTTGATTCAGACAGGCAGGCAAGCCCAAGGAACAGGCAGCATTCAAAATGGTGACACGCAAACGACTAAAATGTAATACGAATATTATAAAGAACTAATGAAAATTTTTATTCCTAATTCGAACCTACTTTTGCAAATGATCTTGACCCACGGTCCAACCAACTTGTTCGTAGATGGGGGCGATTAAATCACGAGCATAGGCAATGTAGTCTACATAGGCATCGGTGTACATAAGTGAACGTTTGAGAGATGTCAACTTGGATGAAGCTACACTCCAGGGTACATATTGATCTTCTTTGCCCAAATATTTGGTCATATCCAAGGCCAAATCGTAAGCCAATTGTGTGGAATCGGCCAATGAGAAGGCGTCATTCAAAAGGGAAGCACGATCACCGACAGAGAAGATCTAAAATGAAGTAGACATGCATATATTTGAAAATATTTTTAAAGTGAACCCAAACGAATAATAATTCGGAACCAAAAATATACTTCTAATAACCCGTCTAAACTCCTCTTCTTTCAATTCATTTTCAAAATTTAAATTTCTAAAAACAAAAACTTACATTTGGATTCTGCACCAATTTATTGGCCAAATTTTCCCACATACTAATGGGGTAATTAACGCGATAATAGCCAACCTGGTCGTAGTTGAATTTAATCCATTCCACGGGACTGGCCACATTGATGATGACTGTAACGACAAAAATGACAAGAGATTAATATCAACGATAAGAAGTTCCGCAGCTACAAAAACAAAACATGACATGATTATCAAAAGACTTACCGGCATTTTGGTCATGGTAAAACCATTCACGTTGGATCTCAGAACTTGCACTGGTCTTGTAGGTAATTGGTATGGACCATTTGTAGCTTTAAAATACAAGAACGAAAACAAAAAACCATTAAAATCCCCATTCCACATGAATACAAATATTCAATACATACCCAAATGGTGAATCATTATATTCACCCTTATAATCATCAGGATTGGAGAAGAAACGTTTCTGGGTCAACTTGTATTGGGTGGCAGTAACCTGTTCAACTTCCACCACAGGGAAACCCATTTGTTCGGTCCAGGTGCGCATAATAGCCTTAACATCAATGCCCAAATTCAATTGATTCAGAACAGTGAAGAAATCATCGGTAACGGCATTTTTATATTTGAATTCATTCAAATAATTGGTGACACCATGTTCGAAATTTTCCGAACCCATAAAGTCTTCCAACATACGAATAATCGATGAACCCTTCGAATAGGTAATGGTATCGAAAATTTCAGTAATTTGGTCGGGATTTTCAACAGTTTGAATGATGGGGTGAGAACCCAAGGTGGCATCCAAGCTGAGAACTCCGTGCAGGGTACCAATGATGAATTGATCGCTCTAAATGAGGACGGGAGAAATGGTATATTAATATTAGATTAGAAACCATGGGGTTTGTTTTTCGCATACCAATTTCCATTCGGGGAACACTGCCTCAACACCCTTATTCTCAATGTAGCTGGCGAAACCTTCATTTAGCCACAAATCATTCCACCACGCCATGGTTACCAAGTTACCGAACCACATGTGAGCAAATTCATGGGCAATTACACTGGCAATACGTTGCTTATTGGCAGTGGAGCTAACTTTTTCGTCATAGAGCAAAGAAGTTTCACGATAGGTAACCAAACCCCAATGTTCCATAGCTCCGGAAACGAAATCAGGAATGGCAGCCATGTCTGCAATACAACAGAGAAAATTGGAATGAATTATATTAGTCACACCTATAAATAATATCCAAAGAATATCGAAAATGTCCCCGCTGTGTATCCACAATTTATAACCAGGTTGTCGTCCGCCAGATGTTTTCTCCAATACGAAAAATGACCACTAAGGAAATCTAATGTTCAACAGATGACTTCATCTATAGTAGAGCCAACTAAGGCATTATAGATGGCCTTCAATAATAGACCAGATAACCCTAGTCATCGACTCATCTAAGAAGGAATATATGGCCTCAATGGTCATCTATCGCAGTAGAATTAATGACCTTAGTGGTCATCTAACGGATAGTAGATACCAATAATGTAGATAACCTCAGCCGTCATCTACAGTTGAGTGCATAACCTCAGAACTAAGTGATCATTTATAGCGGTGTATATGAACTTCGTGATCATCTATGGTACAATAGATGACCTAAGTGGTCATCTAAGGTACAGTAGATGGTCTTGGTGGTCATATACGGTACAGTATATCACCTCCTTGGTCATAGTTTTCATTTACGGTACAGTAGAAAGGCTCATTGGGAATCTACATTTTTGTAGATTCCATCAGAGGGCCCATTGGGCATCTAAATTTGAGTAGATTACATCAGAGGCAATCTGTGGTAGAGTAGATACACTCACACAGTAAATGGTCTTGGTGGTCATATAAGGTACAGTACATGTCCTTCTTGGACGTCTACGGTACAGTAGATAGGCTCGATATTGTAGATGGCCTAAGTTATCATATTCGGTACAGTACGTGTCCTCATCCGCCCATCATCCGTATACTATTAGAGCTCCGTGTTTATTTACAGTAGAGTACATACATACTGTAGAGTAGGAGACTTGGATATCTCTCAGTGGTGATATATAGGGGAGTAAATGACCTCAACATTCATTTACTGTAGAGCACTACCTCTGTAGATATATTACTGCGATCGAAGCTTAATTGTTTTTTTGTTATATTATATATCGTGTAATAATCCTCACTTACCCAACTTAGGCAATGGATATGGTATTTGGAAATATTGGACATAGTATTCGATGACACCCTTGCCAACCTCGACGGCAAAATCGACTTTATCAATTTGTTCGGGCGTGGCATAGACACTCATTTGGAATGGTTCACCAATGCCCTTGGTATCGACGGTGACACCCTTGCTTAGGAAATCCGAGATAATGAAACAGGACAAGTATGTGCTCATGGGTACACTTTGTCTGAAGTAGACTTCGGTGTGGGTATCTTGGTTAACTTCTTTCTGCAAAAATAAAATATATATACAAACACTTTTTAATGAACCTCATCTCCCGAGCTTACCAAAATATCCATATTGGAGAGGGCATGATAACCACCATCATTGGGATAGACCAAAACAATGTCAAAGGTAGCCTTCATACCGGGCTCATCAAAACAGGGGAATGCCTGACGGGCATATGTGGGTTCAAACTTCGAGGTGGCAATCCATCTGAAAAAACCGATCCATCATATTACTATTTTTAATTTCAGGTTAACTCTTCCGCATCTCGTGTACTTACTTCTTTGTGTTATCAGCCTTGGTGTACGATGAAGAATACAGACCAATAATTTTAGCATCCATATTACCTTCGAAAATAATACCCAAATAGAAGGTGCGTGGTGCCACAATATCCTCAGCCATTTCGATAACCAAAAATTCACGCACTGTATCCAAATAAAAGTTCTTCACATAATTGGTACTGCTACCAATACTTTTCACATACACATTATTGATGGTCATATACAGTGAGTGCAAAATAATGGTATTTGTTGTCTCCAGACAATTAACGGAAATTTCTACTTGACCTGAGAAATTACCGGTATTAACATCAGGATGCAAATACAGATCATAGTTTATTGGTATCAAATTTCCGGGCAAACGATAGTTTATCTGAAAAGGAAATAAAATGTAGACTTGATGTTGGTCCTTCAATAAATATTCGTAATACGACAGAGACTTATCGACAGAAAAGGAGAGAGGATGCGGCCTGGGGTGCGGTCTGAGGAAGCAATTTAGCAACAAGATCACTACTCGCAGGACCAAACTCACACTCTACAAGACACTTATACCAACCATGCTGGTGTATGAATCTGAAGCATGCGAACTTGCGCATGCAGATATGACAGCTTGTAGTGTTTGAGAGAAAAGTTCTCCGAAAGATCTATGAGACGATCTGCGTCGACGGTGAATATCGCTCTCGTATGAACCATTAGGTGCATATATACTCGACGTAGTCAGAAGTATCGAGCAGCGGCGGCTACGGTTGCTAGGCCATGTTGTGCGAATGGATGAGGATTCCCCAGCTCAAAAAGGCATATAAATGCTGGCCAACTGGTCATGCAGAAGCGGAAGGCCAAGAATTCGATGAAAAGATCAAGTGGTAGATAACAGGTCATTCAGGTAAGCCACTATATAACGTTACCTTCCGAATTTCAGTATTTTGAGGATTTTGGGAACGTTTGTCAAGCGAATAGACTGTAATTCGGCATTTCGAATTCTCGTTGGGTAGCTAATCTTCTTCTTATCAGTTAACTAATCTTCTTCCTAAACACTATCAATATTGATCCACTATTTAAATTTGCCCCCGAATTTCAGTATCTTGGGAAGTTTAGGCACGTTTTTCAATCTCCCTACCAAAATTTATCAATATATGTACCCGTGTTACAGTAGCTCCACTATTCGGTAATTTGCGAATTACTGACAACTTCTCAAACCTTCACACGTATTTTTCGGTATATTTAAGATCCTAGCCGAACCCGTATAAATATAAATTTTAGGTATGTCTACATCATGGTGTATGGTAAAAAATTTCGATCCGCCTATATTATATGGATTATTACCCCTTTCACAAGTCGGTCTTTGAAATCGAATAACATATTAACTTTTTACCGCACGCAACAAATTCAAAGTATATGATCGATAATAAATTATTGTGAAAATGAAAAAAAGAACGCCTTATTGTTTATACCGAATTACGCTGATAAGAGATCAATAACGCTATTGCGCTTGTTATCAGTTAAATGTCCCCTGACTGGCTATCTAAATCTAGAATTTTATTTATTCAATATTCTACAATTTAGCAATAGAATCAGGCTGGATAATACTTTCAGTTTTTATTTCACATTGAAAAACTTACCGGTTGTGGAGCTGGAGTCGTTGTGGGCTCTGGTGTGGGGCTGGTAGTGGGCAAAGGATTTGTGGGTGGTGGTGATTGTGTTGTTGTGGTGGTGGTCGTTGTTGTCGTAGTTGTAGTGGTGGTCTTAAGGGCCTCCTCCAACATTTGCAATTTCTCCTTGGCCTCATCCAAATCATTTTTCAAATTTGTTTTTTGCACAGCCAAAACAATTGTCGAAACGGTGAAAGCTGTCAGGGCCAAGCCCAAGCCAATTGACACTAACTTTGCAGTTATTATCATTTTGTGGTGTTTCTGTAAAGGATCCACATTCACTCCAAATTCCCAAATTTTTTATTTGTCAAACTTACCGGTAGGATTGTGAACCGTCTACCACAATATACCAAAAGCAACTAACTTATGTTCGGGAATAAAATAATCGCCAACATTACCACCATAATTCAAATTCAGATGTTATACCTCTTCTTCTCTATCAGAATCGCGTTGGATTGCAATAAAATATTATCTCAACACAATTCTTGATAATCTTATCGCAGCGCCAAACGAACGTCGAACTGCCATTGATATATAATCGACGTCCGGATTATTATTAAGGCCAATATCAGCAGATAAAAATGAAGTCTATAAGTGAATTACAATCACTGATCAAATATAGACTAGTTCAATTCGGTAATATACTCGTAGTTAATTCATAAATATCGACAAGATAGATTAGAGTCCAACTATTTAGTGGTTGTAATTTTATTTTGAATAATAAATATGTGATTATTGGCATACAAAATAATATTACTTTCATTTCATTTTGTTAACTAAGTGAAAAAGTGTGTGTAAGGTTTTTATAGAATAGTGTATTTAAATTTAAAATCGATGGGATTAATACTTTCTGAGTAACTTTTTTAGAATAGACAGAAAAAAATAATTCATATATTATATGCATATGCAATGTCCGGATTTCCGCATTTTATGAATGGAATACGTAAAACTTTAAATACTGATATCTTGACAGAGAGAGAGAGGTAAACATATGTTCGGATGGTGATGGCATTTCTATGGCACTAAACTGTCTGAAGTTTTGATTTTCCTATTATACTTTTACCTTTTTTTGTCTTGAATCGTTTTCTTATTGACATAAATGATCGCATGTTAAGTCACATTTGGAAAAACAGATTGACACATTACATCTGCTAATTATATCGAAATAATTTGGAAAATACATATGCGAACTTTATTTAATTAATATAGTGTCTGAAATAAACAAACAATGAAATGCTAAACTACACATGGAGAGTGAGACGGATTGTCTATATTAAAAAAAACACAGCCGAACACTGAATGGTGTTTTTTTCTTTTTGGGAGGAAAATATAGCAAGAAAGTGAATAACAAATTAGCGCAAAATGAGCCCGATTTTTTTCCGTGACCACAGAACGATTTTATTTGTTTCTTTTGATATGAGTGGCCATAGCTCTAAGAACGTGTTCCTAAATAATTTGATTAGTTCAACTTTTGGGTGCTTTGGTCCATGGTTTAGGGTTTTTAAAAACTTGCTGAAGTTTTGTATTTCTAAGGGACAACTTCTTATACCCTTCACCACACTGCGATACAAGGTATTATGTCTTTGTGCGTACGTTTGTAACATGCAAAAGGAAGCGAGATAGACACATAGTTCATTTTGAGAATATGCATAGAATCTATTTCAGAGTCCATTTATGCATTGTCTGTCCATGTTAAATTGTAAACAAATCACAGGTCGCATTTATAATCCGAATTAGAAGAAATTTTGAAGTTGGGAAAATTCGGTTCAGATTTAGATATAGTTCCCATACATATTTTCGTCCGATTTAATGTAAATGGTGCACCAAAGTCCCTATATATCTTTCGATTTGCACGGATATTGGCGAAGCGTACTGGATTGAGACTCTGGTAAGTTTCGTGAAAATTGGTTCCGATAGCTCCCATATATACTTTTGTTCGGTTTTAGGTAAATGGGGCACCCAAGTCCCTATATATACTTCGATTTCAACCAAATTTGGCATAGAGTACTAAATTAAATCTAAAGTGATGTGTGTTAAGTTTCGTGAAAATCGGATATATATACATATATATATATATATATATATATATATATATATAAATGTTCGATTTTATGTAAAAAAATTGGCATATCGCACTGAATGAGTCTAAAATAATGTGTGCTAAGTTTCGAGAAAATCGGTTCTGATTTCGATATAGCTATCTATATATCCTTTGATTTGCACGATATTTGGCATGACATACTGAATTAAGTCTAGAATGATGTGTACTAGATTTAGTGAAAATCTGTTCCCACAAATATATTTTCGTCCGATTTTAGGTAAATGGTGCACCAAACTCCTATTGAAACGAAGTTTTGCACAACGTATCAAATTGAGACTATAATGACGTTGTTGCGTTTTGTTGAAATTGGTGTAGATGTCGATATGGCTTCCACATATATTTTGAACGGGTGTCAGATTGAGATTACATTTTAACAGTGCGACATACTAAATAACGTGTTTGCTATAAATCGATTCCCATAATAATCTGCACGAATAAAATTTAATTTAGGCACGAATATGTACCTTCGAGGGAATGTTGACATGACATTGTAAGTATACATGGGAAATTACAAAAATCTTTTAAATTCCTTGAAGCTGAGGTTTGCAAGGTTATAACTCGCGAAATATGAACATATTGCATATAATTTAAATTCAATTCTATAAAATGAAGTGTTCTTGTCAAAATCTTGAAATATTGGTAATAAATAATAAGTTGCGTGGAAGCTGTGATGGTGGTAATGTAAAAAAATGAAAATGTGTTGAAGCCAACGAGTTTTTTTGTGTTCGTTCCCGATTTGTGGCTAAACTACACAACGCACACACATGTGATCAGTGACTAAGTTGCAGAATACCCCATGGACAATATGGTTCTAATGTATGATTTTTCGATATAATCACTGCATCCACCCAAAATGGATGCTGACATTTTGAAGCCGGATTTTCGGTGTTTTTTGAATTTTTCTTATAATTAGGATGCGCATCCAGACAATAGAATAAACTAATTATAGGATCGTAGAACTCGTGATTCTGCTTCGTTTAGTGTATATCTCATGAATGTGCTCACTGTAGCTTCTTTGCAATTGGGTTCCAAAGACGAAAATTTAGTGCGTAAATTTTTATAAAAAACATATTTTTTTAGTCTAAAATTAAGAAAGTCCATTCAAATTCCGTGGAACCCCGCGTGATTTTAGTTTTTTTACGTGCCGGATCTAATGAGCCCATCCATGTTCAATTCCGCCCATTAAAACGGCGGATATAGGTACCTTGAATGTGGGAAAAACTGCAAAAACTTATTTTGACAAATTCGCGTAAATAATCGCGGTTTTCTTCGAATTAATTTTACATGCATTTATGCTTGTATTGTCAAATTCGCGAATCTGCGTGGAAATAGGTCAAAAATACATCGATACGCGAAGAATATGCGTATTTTATCCAAAATTGATTGTGGAGGCACATCCGCGGTTCTTAACCGATCCTTTTAAAATAGGTGTCCTTTTGCGTATTTTCATAGGAGATTACTAAAATCGGATGCGCATAAAAATCGTATGCACGTTGCGTGATTTTTAGCCATTTTTAGGGTTTTTGCATAGTAAAGTGCATCGAGTGGCACACTTTGACCGCTAAATTAAACATTGAAAAATTAATAATTATTGAAAGACATTGATTCGGTTTATACGAAAATCGCATGCGCATCAACTGATTTCAATTAATTCGCGAATTGCAAGCTTTTCAATATTGATCATTTTTATGTATTGTAAATGCAATATATTTAGCCATTAATGACGTCGAAACTCTTATCAGATGAATCTGCCGATATTTAACAATCATCTAAAAGAATTTGCAGAAGAAAGCGTCGTATATTTTAGAAGATTAAGGCAAAACCGTATCCTCTTAACCATACTAAAAAAATCGAAAATTCAAAAAAAAAATAGTTTTAATTCAAAAATTAATTTATTTTATTTTCCGATATCTTCATGTTTCTATTTGTTTTTCGCGACTATTAAACCGTATTTCAGTGTGATTTGACTAGTATGCAAAGAAAACAATGGTGTTTAAGCATTTGTGAAGAAATTCGCGAATTACAACGAATAGGAATCCATTTAATATATATTTGAAATACAAGATTTAAAACCGCTATAACTTTTGTGCGCAGCATTCGAATTTGTGAACGCGAACAGATTTCGAATCAGCATATTTTTCTTAACCTATGTACCAAAAATCATAAATGTGCTCGCAAAAAAAATTTAAAAGAATTTTGTAATTTCCCGCATATATTCAATATACCCAAAGTGGTGAAGGGTATCATATAGTCGGCCCAGTCGACTATACTACTTTCCTTACTGGTTTTCAATATTTATTATTCACGTGTCCATTCTCACATTTGACAAATAATGAAAATAGCCACAAAAATATTCCACATTTAATGACCCAATAATTTTATGATCGCTTGGTTTATGCATCGTCGAAAAATTTCTTAATTCGCCTTATCTGAAGTGTATTCTATAAAAAGGAAACAAATTAGAACGTAAACAACAAATTATTCCACTTTTGACTGAGAATTTTTTATATTTGAGAATTATGGAAATTCCATACGAAGTTTCATCAAATCAACAATTGCTTAAAATACAAATATAACTTCCAAAAATGCTCTTAGAAATTCAGCATTACACTGTTTTTAATATTTTCCTATCCAAAAATATTGGAAATATTGGTGGAAATTATTGGGAACATTTTTCTATTGGGAAACTAAAAACCAATTGTATTTTCCGATACATTATGACATATTTCCCATATGAAGAGTATTTGGCACGGAATAAAGGAATTTTTCAACTAGGGGGTGGGATTGCAACATATATAATCTAACTGCTTAGCTAATTTGGTGATAGTTAGGTAAATGGAGTGCGGAAATATTTCATTGATCAAATGGAGTTTCCGTTTTATGTTGACAGCTTCCACGCGGCGTCAGAGATTTTATTTGTTTAACCCGATCGGGGTTTGTGGATTACCACTAAGGACTTCTTTGATTATTTTGGAAAAATAGTTCTTCCGATTGGGTTTTATCAACAAAGGAATTCCTTGCTCCTTACTAGGCGTGATATTCCAAACCGGAAATTAGTAAATACGCGATAATTTTATTACCTGGACTTTACTATGGGAAGTGTAGAACAATAGTTTTCCTTATTGCTTTTCCAAAGATTAGGTAAAAGAAATCTAATGGCAATATTTTTTTCTTATTGAAAATCCATAACATTAATGTTTTGGGAGATTTGAGAGAAGGGGATTATTTATTTCGAATTTTGATAATATGGATATTAGATACAAATTATATTTTCCTTCGCAATAAATATATGATTTAGTACCCATGTTAGCAGTTTCTAACTGTAAGAAATATCAATAACATGAAAATAAAGTAACTGAAGATAAACAGGAAGATATTTATTATATAAAATTCCCTAACAGTTTTGGTAAGCCTTACACAAAACAAGGATTATTCCATAAGTTTTCCCAACCAACATCTATTTTTTTCAAGCCTTTTATTAGAGAGTAGGAACACAGTTTCCCTAATCGACGTGGTAACGAGGACTATCCCCATAATTTACATTTCCCCACAGGATATTCCTTATTTTTTTTACAAAACTTGCATTAGAGCGTTGGAAAACTTGATGGAAATTACCTCAGTTTAAACCATTTTTATGATTTCCCTCGCCCACAATTTACGATAAATATTTATGGCACAAAAAAACAAAACAAAATTTCCGGTACCACTTCAGAATTTTCCCCATGTATTCTAATTGGAAAACAATAGCATCAAAATGACTTGTTACCTGATCAATATAAATACTAGAGTAATCATCACCCAACAGACAACACTCAAATCACTAACATCAGTCAATAAGGACAAAACAGAACAATGTCTAAAACAAACATCATCCTCAACATTATTTGCATTACCTCATGGCTTGTTATCTGCAAGGCATCCCCAAGGTATCAACTGAATTATTTGGCATCTCAAAGTATCTACGCAAACAAAGTCTACACCCAATTGCAAGCTCCCCTTTCTCTGGACAATATTATGGAACCAAGTATGTCAGCGATCATTTAAATGGGAACGTTGAAACTGCCCAACATCCGACTTCAATCTGCGGCGTGCTTCTAAAGCATCAGAATTGGATCGTGAAGGAGCATATGTTGAGGCAATTACAACTGCAGCTATCTTTTACTCCACCACAAAGTCGTGCTCCAGTGACATGATATCGACATGCAGTTCCTGTTCGAATAACCCATACTCATCACAATGTTCAGATAATCCACAAGCAGCCGAGAATCTATTGAGACGACATTTGAACATTAATTTCCCCCATAAGTTTTATGGGAAGATCTTCACACATAACTACAAGGCCATTACAAATCTATTGGAGAAATCTCTAACCAAGCAATGTGTTTGCACTGCAATGGGTCCAACAGGAAAATGCAGCAATGAAATTTGCCGTCAAATTTTGAAACCATTCGAAGAAATTGCCGATGACATTCGTCAGATGTACGATGAAGGTATACTCTTGGAAAATGCAATTATCAATTATCGTATCTTGTGGGATAACATACCCCTGGATGTATTGGTCTTCATGAGAGATTCTACTAACTATTGTGAACTGGATGCGGTGTCACACTGGAATGGTATGGTAGGACGTCTGTGTGCAAGTGTAGCTGGCGATACAGATCTTTCTGATCTGGCGATACAGATCATCTTTGTGGAGAATGTGGCTACAGCGTAGAGAAGATGGATGTTCTGACCGAATCTCGATGCAATTGCAAATTAACATGGGTCTTTAAATTGCAGTGTGAGTCGTGTTTTACTGCCGAGAACCATCACTACTGTTACTAAGTAATGGAGAATATTATGTTCACGATTGCCAAAACATTCGCAGGAGGAAGGAGAGTCAACGTATTCATTTTAAGCTTAACCCCTAAGCAAATATTACTTTGTAATTATAATGTACATACACGTATAGAAATAATTATTCTTAATTAGAATTGCCAAGTGTTGATTTTTTATTAAATTAATTAAATATGGTTACAAATGTGGATTTTTATCAACATACGAACTTTGTAAACCCACATAGCCCAATATGCCTGACGAGCCGCTTAACCAACGACGAAACGTGTCGCATAATGGTGGTTACGTGGGTGTCCCGCCATATTGTTAATTGTTGTGCGAAGTCAATAATCCTAGTTCAATAATCCTAGTATATATATATAATCCTAGTATATATATATATATATATATATATATGTGCAAAGTTACAAACCTTATTGATTTACCAGCCCATTGAATATCTTGAAAATTTTAAATCGAGAATGGGGTGGTTCCCTTAAAAGGCATTATAAAAAAATGTTTTACTGTCAAAGGTGATTAAAACCCAAAATCGCCAGATTGTTTGCTTCTGAGGTTTTCATACACTAACCAGGGTCTTTCATCCCCAATAGGAATTTTCCATTTAAAAAATTTCAATTCCTACAATATAATTTAAAACCAGTGAGCGGAGCAGTATAGTCGGACGGGCCGACCATATGATACCCTAAACAACTTCCACGAAACTATAACTTTCTGTGGTTCTATATTCTGAGCTTGGGCAATATTTCGCGATATTTGCACCCTCTTGACCGACTAGAGGTCAACAAATTTTACAAATATTCAGTACAGCCCTTCTAATCACTTGTTCAGATTCCCTTCACCGTGGGTTGTGTTGTGATGTTCGGTTTTCAATTTTGGCTATAGATCGACACGAAAAAAACCAAAAAAAAATAGTTTTCGGTCCATTTCATTCCAAAATTATTATCTGATCATCACCGAAAATTATAGACGTTGTCGGTGACCATAACTTGAACCTCATGGAAAATTTCAAAGCGATTTCCGCCCTCTAGTGTGGTAATGGGTGACTAAATAAAATATGAATACGTAAGCACCTGTAAACATTTATGTGTAAGTCCCGCATCCGAGTACATACGACAATATAATTGGTATCAATTTAAAGGTCAACCACTCCTCTTGAACATACTATCAACTTATCGTGTCTAGGACCTTCAGGTGCAAATATATACCCCATAGAATACAAATTTTGTAATTTTTCACACAAAAGTCAGGTTCCTGTTGACCCGCTAAATATTGACCGCTGTTTATCAAAACAGGCATATTTATTCTTTGGCCGATCCCCTTCTCCGTGCAAAAATTCGCGGTGTTTGGGTCATAATTGCGGTCTCTGAAGCGACCAGAAAAACCGACAAAATAAAGTTTTTGGTCCATTTCATCCCCTAAATATTAACCGAACTTTTCCAAAAACAATAGGGGTCTTGGCCAGAACCCATCCTACATGCAAAATTTCGTGAAGATTGGGCCATAACTGTGGCCTGTATCGTGTTTACAAATTATAATGGACAAACGGACGGAAGACACACATGTCTAGATCGACTCAGCTAGTCGAGATATACTTAAAGGTGGGCCTAGGACCAATATTTCGCGGCATTACAAATTTTTGGGGCTGCACAAAGCTATAATACCCTAACAACATAGTTGTGTCGGGTATAAAAAAAACAAATATAGACGATTGTCATTCCACAGTTGTACCCAGGTTTAATAAATTTAATAAAAAAAACAATACTTCGTCATGTTCAATTATAATTAGCTTTCTTTCCATAAAAATAACTATTTCTTAATGTATGTACATTATAATTACAAAGTAATATTGGCTTAGGGCGTAACCTTAAGACTAATGCGTTGACTCTCCTTCGCCCTGCGAATGTTTTGGCAATTATGAACAAAATTCTCTCCAGTACTTAGTAACAATAGTAATGTTTCTCAGGGGTATAACACGATTCACACTGCAATTTAAAATCCCATGTTAATTTGCAATTGCATCGAGATTCAGTCAGAACATCTTTCTTCTCAACGCTGTAACCACATTCTCCACAAAGATGATTGCAACGTAGTTTGTCCTCCTCCGAAATATCTCCGTCGGCTGTTATACTTGCACACTGACGTCCAACCATGCCATTCCACTGGGGTACAGCATCCAATTCGCAGTAATTGGGTGAATCTCTCATAAAGACCAATACATCCAAGGGTATGTTATCCCACAAGATACGAGAATTGATAATTGTATTTTCCAATAGTATACCTTCATCGTACATCTGACGAATGTCATCGGCAATTTCTTCAAATGGTTTCAACATTTCGCGGCAAATTTCGTTGGTACATTTTCCCGTTGGGCCCATTGCAGTGCAAACACATTGCTTGGTTAGAGATTTTTGCAATAGATTTGTAATGGCTTTGTAGTTGTGTTTGAAAATTTTGCCATAGAATTCATTGGGGAAATTGATGTTCAGATGTCGCATCAATAGTTTCTCGGCTGCTTGTGGATTATCTGAACACTGTGATGAGTATGGGTTATTCGAGCAGGAACTGCATACCGATATCATACCACTGGAGCATGACTTGGTGGTGGTGTATAAGATAGCTGCAGTTGCGATTGCTTCCACATAGGCTCCTTCACGATCCAATTCTGATGACTTTGAAGCACGCCGCAGATTGAAGTCGGATGTGGGGCAGCTCCAACGTTCCCATTTAAATGATCGTTGACAATTTTCCATAGCCATTTCCATACTTGATTCCATAATATTGTCCAGATTGGGAGTAGCTTGAGGTTTATTGTACAACATGTTTGTATAGATATTTTGAGATGCCAAATAATTCAGCTGATACAATGGGGATGCCTTGCAGATAACAAGCCACGAGGCAAATAAAATAACGTTGAGGAAGATATTTGTTTTGGACATCGTTCTGATTCGTCCTTATTGACTGATGTTAGTGATTGGAGTGTTGTCTGTTGAATGATGGTTACCCCTTGAAGTGCTCTAGTATTTATATTGATCAGGTAGTCAATCGTTTTGGTGATATTATTTTCCAATTAGAATAAGGCTAATGATTCTTAATGTAGAAATTTCTGGAGTGATAGAGGAAATTTTGTTTTGGTTTTTGTGTCATAAATATCAATCGTAAATTGTGGCCAAGGGAAAGTCATAAAAATGGGTTAAATTCAGGTAATTTGCATTAAGTTTTCCCACGCTCTAATGAAAGTTTTGCAAAAATTACTGAATGTTGTGTGGGGAAATGTAAATTATGGGGATAATCCATGATTTGTTTACGGATCACGAAATCGATTAGGGGAAATGAATATAAACCTCATCTGTGTTCCTATTCCCTAATAAATGAGATGAAAACAAATGTAATAAACATCTTCCTGATTATTTCAAGTTAATTTCTTCTAATAGTTTAATATTCCATATAGTTAGAAACTGTTAACATGGGTACTAGACCACGAACATATTTATTGGGACGGAAAATATAATTTATATATAATAATCCAATTAACTAATATCAGTAGTAGCATAATTTCCATATTTTCTAAAAGTATTCTATTGAGTTTTCCAAATTACGAAATGAAAAATCCGCTTCCCTTAAATCTCCCATAACATTTATGATGTGCCAGAAGAACTTTAATGTTTTGAATTTTCAATAAGAAAAAAATATTGACATTCGATTTATTTTACCTAATCTTTGGAAAAACAATAAGGGAAACAATTATTCTACACTTCCCATAGTGAAATCCAGGTAATAAAATTGTGCCGTATTTACTAATTTCCGGTTTGAGATATCACGCCTAGAAAGAGGCATGGAATTTCTCTGGAAGAATTGGAAGAATTATTTTTTCCAGAATAATAGAAAAAAGTCCTTAATGGTAATCCACATACTCAACATGGGTTAAACAAACAAAATCTCTGGCGCCACCTTGGGATTATCAACATAAAACGGAAGCTCCATTTAATCAATGAAATATTTCCGCACTCCATGATATAGCCTTTTGCCTAAATATCACTAAATTATATTAGCATTTGGTTCATATATGTCGCAATCCCGTCGCTCAGATGAAAATTCCTTTAATCGGTATCATATCTTCTTCATATGGAAAATATGTCATAATGTATAGATAAATACAATTATTTTATTTTCCCAATAGAAAAATATTTCCAATATTTTTCCCAATGTTTCCAATAAAAAAAACAAACTTTATCCAAAGTTGGATAGCACTTTTTGTGTCATTCAACTCGTAAAGTAGGATTATCGGCTATTCGGCTCTGATTATTACTTCTAGAAAATCAAACATTATTTGTAATTTCCTTCAGATTACTTTCCTTAAATTGGGAAAACGTGAAATCGAATTAGAAAATTCCCCCAACAGACGTGGATTAAACTATGGAAATACGTACTTCAAATGTTCATTGATTGAATTTATGTTGTCAATAATTAGAAGGCGCCAGCGATCTCATTTGGTTAAACCGTGCTATATTTGTGGATTACCATTAAGGTTTTTTATATTATTTTGGAAAATAATTTCTGTCACATGGGTTTTATTATCGTGTGAATTCCATGTCTCGTACTGGGCGTGATACATAAAACCGGAAAAGTGAAAAGTTTTATTACCTGGAATTAACTATGGGAAGTTAAGATTTTTTCCACCATGGCTTAAACGCGTGGCAATAGGTAAACACATTTTAATATATTTTGAAATTCTTATTGAAAATCGAAAACATTCCAGGGCTGTTTAAATAATGCGCATTTTCAAAGGGAAATTATTATTTTGTAATTGGAATTTTATTAAACATTTTGGAAAATTCTGCAGTGGTTTCTGTTATTATGAAAACATACCGCATAATAACGACTTATGAAAAATGCTGGGCATAGCAGAGTTCTAAATATATTTTTTAAATAAATCTAATTCAAAGGTATTGTCAACAGATGATAATAGAAAATAATATTAAAATATAAAATTTCATATTTTAGAGATAATTTAATTAAATATCCTCTCTTGGGTATGGATAGGCAAGAAGTTTTTTTCTACCATAGTATATACTATTAGTTTTGGTAATCCATGCACATAACGTGGTTTATCCCCTTGATTTCCGTAATGTCACAATTTCAATTATTTCCACAAGCAACAATCAGTTGTGGAAAACTTCGTGGGAATACTTTATGGAAATTACCTGAATTTAACTCTTTATTTATGATTTAATATTGCCCACAGTTTATGACAATCTCCTACAACAAAAATTCGAAAAGAATCCCTTCCTTTGAGCTTTGTTCATATGGTATTTCAATTACGAAATAATAATTTCCGAGTTTCCCAAAAACATTAACAAAATCCACAACATAATTTCCCAATTGTCCTTGGTATGTTTTGGATTTGCAATAAGAATATTGATATGACACATAATTTACATAATGCTAGCAAGATAAATTATGGAGGAAAATATCCTGTACTTCCCGTAGTAAAATACAGGAATTCTCTCCAGTATGAGAAATCAGTTATATTCCATATAACTATATATATATATATACATATTCATATATTATTTAGAGGGCGGAAAAATAGCGCTGATCGTTTTGAAATTTTCCATGAGGATCCAGGTATGGTCAAAGAGAACGCCTGTAATTTTAATTAGAAGAGCTGTACAGAATATTAGTAGGGGAGAGGGGGGCACCTTTGAACACTTTTTGCTTTCAAGTCTCATAATTTTTTTTATTTTATAATTTTTGGTTTCTTATAAATTTTAAATTTGAACAAGGGTTGGCATTTTTGAACGACATGGTTTTTTACAGTGTTTATGTTCAAATATGTATGTATTTTATTCATACATATCAGAAATGCATTTATTCATTACAAAATATATAAAAAATTTTCAAAATTTAAAAAAATTAGATCAAAATTTATTAAAACATTAAATGATTTAAAATCAAAAATTAATATGGTGAAAAATACAGTTAATTTCGTAATCTTATTAGTCCATTTGAAATTTTGAGAAATCGAAGCCAAAATTTAAAAACTCCGTTTTTTACTCGAGTTTAATGGGCATGTTCAAAGGTGCCCCACCCATGGCATTTTACGGAAATTTATAATAACTTTTTTTGTAATAAATATATATGAAAGAAATTACATTAGTTATGTTTGAAATGATTGTTGGAATGCAAAAAATTCTTCCTGCGCCCTTATAACCATATGAATAAAAGTTTACAATGACACTGCGAAAACATGGTCACCCATGCACAATTTGTCGACAACGGAAAAAGCAAGCCAAAGTGGTTTACGCAGATAGAGAACAAGATTGCCATATACAAAAATGTGGTTGCGGGTCGGAAAATTTTTAAACCAAGATTTTATGAGCGCTGTTCAAAGGTGCCCCACGTTCAAAGGTGCCCCACGTTCAAAGGTGCCCCCCTCTCCCCTAATATTTGTTGACCTCTAGTCGATCGGGTGCAAATATCGCAAAATATTGCCCAACCTCAGAATGTAGTATCATAGAAAGTTCGATTTTCGTGGATGTTGTGTGGGATATCACAGGGTCGGTCCCGCCCGATTATACTGCTCCGCTGGTTCTATATAACGTTTTCCAATATATTTTAAAGGAAATTACATACAATTTTTATTTATTTGTGTTTGTGTCGATATTCCGTACAAAACCTTGGATAAACTGAGGTTGTTTTAAATTTACCATTTAAAATTCCATCGTGTAATGTTGGGAAATATTTATTGTTATCGATTATAATATCGAACTCATTTCTAGACATAAATTAGGGAGTGCTACATGAAAACCCGGAAAATAATTTGAGCAGAACCTTAAAGATTTTTTCTATTAATCGAATCTGTTTTCGAAAATGTTTGCCTATTTTAATACTGAAACATACCAATTATAAACCAGTAAGGAAAGTAGTAAAGTCGGACGGGGCCGACTATATGATACCCTTCACCACTATCTTCACCAGAACAATTAACATGAAATTGGATGAACTAAAATATGTGATATTTATGTGAATCAAAATATATCAATCTATTTGCATGTCATTTGTTTCTTACAATGGGACAAATGTTGGGCCGTTGGGCTATGTCTGTACTTCTAGAAAACCCAACTACGTTATTCTATGCTCAATTTTGTGCGTTGTGCAAAATTTCATGTCAATTTGACAAACACCATTTGCACCGTTTACTTAAAATCGGACGAAAATATATGTGGAATTTATATCCAAATATGAACCGATTTCAACAAAACTTGTCACAGGTTGGGTTATACTAATTTCAGTACGTTTTGTTCCTATCAACCATATATTGGTTCCTTGGTTCGTCAATTACTTAAAATCAATCGATCTATGCAATATTAGAACTTTGGTACATTATTTACATTAAATCTGACGGAAATATATATATCTTAATCTGAACCGATTTTCACGAAACTCAGCACACATCATTCCAGGCTCAATCCTGTATGCTATACCAAATTTCGTCCAAATCGAAAGATTTATAGGAACTTTGGTGAATCTTTAACATAAAATCGGACGAAACTATATATGGAAGCTATATATTAATCTGGACCGATTTTTACGAAACTTGGCATAAAGCACTCTAGGTTCAATTAAGTACGTTATGCCAAATTTGGTGCAAATCGAAAGATATATAGGGACTTTAGTGCATCATTTACATAAAATCGGACGAAACTATATATGGGAGCTATATCTAAATCTGAACGGATTTTCACGAAACTTGGTAGACATCACTCTAGGCTAAATTCAGTATGTTATGCCAAATTTCGTGCAAATCGAAATATATATAGGGACTTTGGTGCACCATTTACATAATATCGGACGAAACTATATATGGGAGCTATATCTAAATCTGAACGGATTTTGACGAAACTTGGTAGACATCACTCTAGGCTCAATTCAGTAT